CTCGACATATAAAATTTCTGCACAATAAACTCGATCGTAAAAAAAAACAATATGAAAATAACAAATGTTTTGTATTGAGTAATAAAAATATGATTTTTTACAATTTCATTTATAATTTGTATTGGCTAAAGCAGTGATCCCCAACTTTTTTATTGTCGTGGACCGGTCAACGTTTGATACAGTTACGGAACGGAACGTTAATACAGTTACACCAAAAAAATCTGCGGACCTGAGGTTGGGGACCACTGGTCTAAAGGACTACCAATCATAGGCTTTTACAGTGAAACCCACAAGTGTAGAGACAAAAGAAAATCAAATAAAATATTCAATGCACGAATAATCACTAATATCACAAATTTAAGAAAACTTCTTAAAAAATGATTTAACAGAAGTGACTTCTCTTCTGCAGAGGCAATATGTACGAAAATTGAACAAGTCTGAGTAATAAAAGATACAATTTGTCTATAGTTTGCATAATAGTCAGAAATAAACTGAATGTGAATATTTAAATGAAGTAAAACCTATTTCGTTTTTTTTATTGTTAATTATTTATTAAGAAGTAATAAAGTAAATTATAGTTTTTCGTTAATGTAGTAAAGTTTTATTAAAACTTTATAGATTATTGTTAATTACCACTTTGTTCAAACTATAAAATTATTGATAAAATTAAAGAAATGAATTAATACAAAAATTAAAAAAGAAAATTTCGGTAATTTATAAAAACTTTAAAATATAAAGTCTATTGAAATTATGTTTACTTAATTATTAATGCGATCCTTGAAGTTGATTTTTCCAAACTGAATATTCCAAGTTGACTACCACTGTTTTAAACGATTATAACTACTCTACTTCATAAAGCAATTGTATTCCTTCTTTTTGTATAAGGGCCAAATACTTCGAATACCGGACTAATCGAGAAACTAAAAACATACAAAAATAAATAAATTTGAATTTATATTTATTTTGCTCAATAAAAAAAATCGTTTGAAAATACTGGAATATTATGAATCCGGACTCAACTATGCTAAGAATTATTGTAATACCAAGGTTAGAATTAATAAAATTTTTGAATATTTAATTTCTTAATTGTTAATTTATCAATATAATTAAAATATAAATTTTCATATTACAAATGTTAATTTAAACTAAAGTTTGTTAATTCACTGTCAAGTCAAGAAAAATGTTAATATAATAACTAAATTCATAGTTTTGTATCAATTTTGAATAATTTTGTTTGTATGAATAGAATTTTTTGATCAAGCGAATTAATGGTATGCATTACAAGCAATGCGGTTTATTAATGTTTACAATTGAAACAGGATTTGTAACTACTCAAATAATGTATGTTTATATATCATTATTAAATTGTATGTGCACTAATAATGAACATAGTTTATTTCCGACAACAACAATGTCCATTGATACCATTCCAAGCGGAAAATAACAAAATATACCATTCGCTAATCCTATACATCATTACAACTGTCATCGTTTTGCTCGTACAGAATTCATTAATCAAATAATTATTATATTTTATTTCATGATTTTTTTTTATGTCGTGTAATTTTATTCACAATGAACAGTCAATGTAAACATTGAGTAAATTTAAGATCGCGGTTAACATGAGGTAGGTAATCTACTGGTTTGCAGTGCTCCAGTCTATCTTGGTATCTACTATTAAATGTTGGTATTATATTCCTGACAAACCATGGAGCCCTAATAATATTTCTTAGGCATTTTGATTGGAACTTTTGTATAATTTGTATGTTTGATTTACTGGACGCAACCTACAATTCCATGAATTAACAAAAAACAAATGTTTAAAGTTATTTTTAACATTGATATTCAGCAATACATTGGATTGTGCGTATTTATTTTAGTACGGTTTGAACATTTCAAAACAAACTAAATTTTAATTGAGCAAAATAAAAATATGTCAAGTCTCTTTTGGTGTTGCTCATTTGTATGTAGTTTTTAAAGTCCTATATTAGTCCGGTTTCACTAGGCATTGCCGTTTTATTTTCTACAAATGTTATTTTTTTCAAATGAAAATAACCACAAGTTTTAATAAATTTATATTAGTTTAAACAAAATTTGTATATAATTACATCAAACAATACAATTTGCTTTCATTGAAAAATTTAATCGTAACTTCAAAATAATTAGAATCACTTTCTACTATGAAAATGACTAATCTGTATTGATTTTATTAAAAAAAACGATTGTTTGCTAAAATAGAGGTCAATAAAAATTAGTACATACATAAATAAAAGCTGGTATTGTTTTTCTTTACATAGAAAATCTAATAAAATATATATTGTTTTTCTTCAGGACAATAATTCTATCAATTAAGGATTTTCACTCAAATTGTGCGTTGTCCCAAAAAGAACTGAGATTTTAAATTTGCCGCCATTTCGTTTTATCTAGACGTGAATTTACACCGTTTGACTTCTTTCTTTAGGATTATCTTCAAATCATTGAAACATGAAATTCGACAAAACATTGATGAAATTTTCCAGCAATTATGTCAACTTGTTATGGAAAATTTGACAGATGTTATGTATCACACATAAGCTTCTTTTCTAAATTTGTTGCCATTTTTTTTCGTAAAACCGGAGTAGAGATTTAATATGCTGTAATTAGTAAACATCGAGGTTAAATTATGAAAAACTACACGATTGAAGAACGAATGAAATAATGCAGTTATTGCAAGAAAACTTTAATAGTCGTGTTATCTAGACGAGAATTTACACCGTTTGACTTCTTTCTTTAGGGTTATCTTATGGATAGAGTGTACATCAATATACCACAAATCATTGAGGACCTCAATTTCATCAAAAGTGTGAACATGTGTTGTCAAGACAGGAGCAGATGTTTTGTAACACACATAACCTCCATGTCTCTACTTTCTAATAAAGCAAAAATATTATCAATTATCAAATAAGAAATGTGTATCATTAAAAAAAGAAAATATCAGTTTATTTTGGGACACCCTTCATAAATTATAAATGTTAATAATACTTTATGATTAATAATACTTTATACAACTATTTCCATGATTAATGGTTTGCGAAATAAACTTCGCTTTAAATTATATTTGATGTGTGATTTATGGTCCATTTATCAATAACATCTACGATTAGTTTTTCTAAATAACATACAGTGGAACCTCGCTTAACGAAAAGAGCATGCGGCTCTTCAAGAGTCTTGTTATGGCTAGTTGAGCCACAACAAAACACAAATATTATATATATTTAATATTATGACTTAGATTAAAAAAAATATACCAAAAAGTTTAGGTACATTATACATTATACATTACATTAGTTTATATGGGGAAAATTGTTTCACTATACAAGTAAAAATCCGGATATTTTGGAACGGATTATGCTCGATAAGCGAGGTTCCACTGTATTTTATTTTTTCTTAGTTCTTATTTCCAATTAAGTAGATATACATTTTTTTCCAGTAATATTAATATTTATTGTAAAAATCACACATAAACAAATAAATCAATAAAACGAGTAAATCGTTGCATAGGTTCATTTATTTTATTATTAAATTATTGTCTTCATTTTTGTATTATAAAAAAATATTGTATATATTGTGTATAAATTCGTCGCATAATTAAATTTAATATCGAAAATACATTGGAATTGCCTACATAAATGAATTGCCAAAAAAAAATTGTGTTTCGATTCGAACGAAAGCACAAAACGTAAAATGAAAAAATAAAACTTTTTTTAATTAGTTTTTCATAGCTCGGATTTATGAAATGTTTACAGTTATTATATTTTTGCAAAGAAATTTTAATTCGCGTTATAATTATGGATTTGTAAAATTAATGTGTATGTATGTAATTTTTGTTCTAATTATGAAACTGGTTGAATTTATATTTTTAATGTGTTAACATTTCAACGAAAGTATGAAATATATAATGAAATATGAATATTTATGAAATATAAAAGTTTTGTAATTAGTTTTAATCTATGAAATGTTAATAGTTTTTCTGTGAAGAAAATTTAATTTAAAATTTAGTTATGGAACTAAAATTATATAGATTTAGAAGAAATATTGTTTTTCGATTTTGGTAATACAAATATTTATGAATAATATAAGAGTTTAAATAGATTTTCATTTATGAAATATTTTTTCTCAAAATATAGTTTAATTTTCATTATGATTATGGAAATAAAACTTTGATGATTTTTAAAATTATTTTTGGGTGATTTCAACGAAAGATTAAAAACAATAAAAGTGTTATTTTTTCTTGTAATTATGAAAATAAAATACATGGATTTATTTATAAAGATATTATGTTTTGATTTCAAGAAGAAAATAAACGTATTGTAATTTTAGTATATCAGAGTTATATATAAAGTTTAATTCTCGTTATAATTATAGAAGTAAAACTGTGCAACTATTGTATTACGATTCTAATAAAAGTATGAAACACATAATGAAATATGAATATTTATGAAATGTAAAAGTTTTGTAATTAGTTTTAATTTATGAAATGTTAATAGTTTTTCTGTAAAGAAAGTTTAATTTAAATTATATAGTTATGAAAATAAAATTGTGTGAAATAGTAAAAAAAAATATGTGTTTAAATTCCAACGAAAGTGTGAAACATAATGAAATACGAATATTTATGAAATATAAAAGTTTTTTAATTAGTTTATCATACTAATTGATAAAGTGTTTATAGTTTTCTGTAACGAAAGTTTCATTCTTGTTGCAGCTATCGGTACAAAACTGTAAAGATTTATAAAAGTATTATGTTTCTATTGTAACGAAAGTATGAAATGCTTCATAAAATGCGAATATTTATAGAAAATGTGAGAGGATTATAATTGGTCTGCAAAAATAATTGTATTATTGAAAGAAAACTGTAGATTTGTTATAGATTTTTTTTTATAAGAAAGTTTCATTTGAGTTGCAATTATGGAAATAAAGGAGAATACATTTGTGATAAAGAAATGTGAGTAATTTGTACGTACCTGAATGACTTTGAATGCAGTTTTCTCGACGTGTTCGCAGCTTTTCGGTTTGGTTTACTTCTACTTTTATTTTTTATTTTAACGAGTAGTTCAACATAATTTATTCCAGTTGCCGTTGATTGTTATGCGGAATGAATGCAAGGTGGATTCGGTGCGTGCAATTTTAATTGGAAAATTTAACGCGCGCTAATTGTGACGCGTCGCGGTCTGCGGTGGAAGGTAGGGAGGACGGGCGTCGCGACGCTGACAGCTCGTGCGTTCCGTAGCGACTGGAAGCGTCTGCCGGAAACTGGATGCATACACAACGGAGAGCGTGGTGCTACCACCTACCACTACCAACCAACCAAGCATCCCTTTCCATCCCCTCACTTCATCTCGCAGAACTTCCTCATCCTCCTCTTTTCCGCAGAAGTTCCGACCTTTCCGGAACTCCCGGACCCGCACAATACCTAAACCGAACTTTAATTTACACCGACAACTATCAAACACACCGCACCAATGACGATCAATTTCCTCCGCAAGATTATTCAATTGTTATAACAGCAAAACTCGAAGAACAGCTCGGAATTTAGATAAACAGTTTGTTCTGTTTCTACAGCTTACCACTTTTAACATTTATTTACTTCTTATATAGTCCTAGCTAAAGTGTTCACAATATTCCATTCTTCAGTTTTGTTATATAAAATTTTAACATTAAACGTTTTATTAAAATAAATAAATATTTTATAAGATTATATGTATGAGGATAGAACTAAAAGTTTATTAAATAATACAAAACTAAGTTAACATTATACAAAACTTTTTTCAATAAAACTAACTAAGCATACAACATAACTATTTTCTATATACAGCAAACATGCGACTCACACTTAATATTTATGCGACCCATCCAACAAAACAGTATGTAACAAAAGTTATAATAAAAAAGTCTAAAATGTGAATGAAGAAGATGTTAATAATATATTGAATGTATAAGATGATTGCATTTCAGTGAAAGACTTAGTAAATCTTATTAGCAAAGATGATTATGAAAATGAAGACGAAATTAAAGAAGTTCCTGCCAAAAATATTAACAACCAAAGATTTATTATAGAAAACCACTTTAATTTATTTCAGTAAAAAACATTTGTTATTGTTAAACGATCAGTGTTAAATGCATTTAAACTCTATATAGACAATTGCGGTAATTTTTATCTAAAAAAAAAAACACGAGTTATGATTGTATAATTTTATACCAGATTACAAAAAAAAAATAAACTCGTGTGTTCCTTCTATAATTTAGTTCTAATTTACATCGAAAAATTTCATAAACGATAGAAAAACACAAAATAGAGAACTAAACTATTCTTCTTTTAAATATATTTAATCTGAATAGCACGTACAGTTTTTAGTATAATACTAATATATTGTAATTTTATACACTTGGTTTTATGAAGTAAAGAAATTCTTTAGATTTTTTTCTCTTTAATTCATTAGTAAATTTGCATTGTTTAACAATTTGTCATAAAAATATCATTACCATTTCATTATGAAAAATCTATTGAAAGAAAATCGTATTGCTTAATTTGTTATTTTATTAATATTTACAATTATGTTCAAAATATAATATCAATCTCATTACTAGGTGAAACTATCACTCAAATAAGAGAGGAGATTTAGACGTTAAATCTAAATGAAAAGTTGTTAAAATATTTTTATTTGAATTAGAAAATTTCATAGTAAAGTATAAAATTAAAATTAACATAATACAATGTTAAAAAATTGCATTGCTCCTTAATAATTATTATACCATATTTTTAAAATAAATTCATTGAATGATTACACTAAAATTATTTAATTTATTTATTTTAATTAGATTATACTAATGATGTTTAATTTCCTTCGTGTTGTATATTAGAACCTCCCAGCTGAAAGATTAGTACTGAATACGTCGTTGCGGCTCCTATCATCTGAAATTAAGAACTTTTAGTACACTTTATCACGATTATCCTTTCATTTTGTGTAAAGGGTTTATAAAATTGATAATTTTCAGACACGCGACTAGAATCGTGCACAAAAATGCGATAAAAATAACTTATAGCTCAGTTTTGTGTCTCTCTACGAGAAAACTTTCAAAGTAAACAACAAACACTGTTACTTTTTATTTACTTTTCAATAATTCAGCAATTTTAACCATTACAGATACTTTTATGACAAAGAAATAGTTTCTCATTTAAGGTATAACATTTAGAAATAGTATTATTGTATGCAATACCTCGTATAGTGCGGGTAATCGCCAATATCTCGAATTGTTTGAAACCGGACTAATAAAGGACTTTAAAAACGTAGTAAAAAATATAAAGCTATTTGATTGAACGAAGAAAAAAAAACTATTATTTCTGTATATTTTTTTTGCAATTTACTTTTATTTTAATCGAAATTAAATTTTAAAACCGGACTATAGTGAATTCGGACTGATTGCGGCTGTATTTACATTGTGATTTTAAAATTTGACTGATTGATATAACATTTTATTTATCTATAAATTAGTATAAAGCAGTGAGAGAATTGTCTTACCCCATAAATAATTCTATTGTTGATTTTGAACAAACCGCAAGGCCAAATTTCGATGTTCTCATGTATTAATTGCAGCGAAAATTGAAGAATCTGAAAGACCGTAAATAAGAAATCCACTTATTTCGCATCCAATCATTACCGTGCAATTGTCCACGACGTTTTCAGTTTTTAGTAACTTTTTGTGAATTGCCTCCGCCAATCCTTGGACCTGAAATAAAATTGCAAACCTATCGAAATGTAATCGTTAAACACAAAAAAAAACAACGTTTTATAACGTAGTTGAATTAGCTTCATTAGTGTTCAATAATATATAAAAATGACGAAGAGCAGCGAGGAAAGTTTCCAAAAGATTATTGCGTTCGCAAGGGAAACAATGTTTGAGATTCGCGAAGAAGAAGTCTAAAGTTCTTGATGTACCCCAAGGGTGCCTCTGCGGGTAGAGACATATAAACGGAAGAAATGAAATCGCATACAATTTGGCACCGGCGGAACAAATTCGTCGTGTCCGATAATAAAATAGAAAGAGAAAATAAAAATAAGAACCAAAATAAAAATAAAAAGTTTGTATCGTATAAAACTGATTTTATTTGAATAAGATATGAGGATCCATTATTATTGATATGCAATACTTGTCAAGTAAGTTATCAATAGTTTATCAAGTAAAACATTGTATGTGGGTGGTTTCCATGACTATGTAATAATTTGTACAAAATTTGGACGTAAAAGCCACGTGGTGTCTATCAAGTTGTCAGTTAATTTGACAGTTGACATACATTAAATATAACAATGTATGTGGGTATCTGTCATGTCTTTTTTTAGAAATAATAATAATATTTATTGAAACAGTAAATTACAAAATAAAAAAAGTCAACTGCTTCAAAAGGTTATTGATCATAAGTCTTTCCGCCCCTTTTAGAAATATTTATACAAAAATTGGATAAAGATTTTTCATACATATTCTTAAACGTCATGTCATGTCTATCCAATTGATGACATTTGACACATGAAAAATATTTAAACAAAAATCAGACAAAGATTTTTCATATATATAAATTTAGAAATATCTATACAAAAATCGAACAAAGATTGTTCATATATATTCTTAAACGTCATTCATTGGTTGACAGTTGATAAATAAAGGTAATTGTGTTGGTTGTCTAGAAGTTTCTACAAACCTTGGATGGGTCTATATCGCAAGCCCGACAACCGACAATAGACGGTCTATTGAAATCCCGACGTTCGAAATCTCGACTGTATCGGAATCCCGACTACCATAAATATGTTATTGTAGAAATATATAATAATAAAAGACACAGTCGGGATTTTGATTGTCGGGCTTTTGACTGGATTTCGAACGTCGGGATTTTGAGCCAGCCGGGATTTCGAAGGTCGGGATTTCAATACACTCGGGATTTCGATAGACGGGATTTCGGTTGTCGTGCTTTTGACATAGTGGGGATTTCGAACGTCGGGATTTTGAGCCAGCCGGGATTTCGAACGTCGGGATTTCAATACACTCGGGATTTCGAACGTCGGGATTTCGATAGATCGGGATTTCGGTTGTCGTGCTTTTGACATAGTGGGGATTTCATACACTCGGGATTTCGAACGTCGGGATTTCGAAACGGGATTGCGATTGTCGGTTGTCGGGTTTGCGATTGCCACCGTCGTAATTTACATTTGACATCTGGATTTCGACAGACGGGATTACGGTTGTCGTAATCAATTATAGGAATTGTTTAAATTGTTTAAACGATTTTAGGATTTCAATATAGTCGGATATAGATTATGATTGTGGGGATTTTGACATAGTCGGGATTTCGAACGTCGGGATTTTGAGCCAGCCGGGATTTCGAACGTCGGGATTTCGATAGACGGGATTTTGAACGTCGGAATTTTGAGCCAGCCGGGATTTCGAACGTCGGAATTTTGTTATAGTCGGGATTTCAATACAGCCGGTATTTCGAACGTCGGGATTTTGAGCCAGCCGGGATTTCGAACGTCGGGATTTCAATACACTCGGGATTTCGAAAGTCGGGATTTCGATAAGACGGGATTTCGGTTGTCGGGATTTCGATACACTCATAGTGGGGATTTCGAACGTCGGGATTTCAATACACTCGGGATTTCGAACGTCGGGATTTCGGTTGTCGTGCTTTTGACATAGTCGGGATTTTGAACGTCGGGATTTTGAGCCAGCCGGGATTTCAAACCTCGTTATTTCAATACACTCGGGATTTCGAACGTCGGGATTTCGATAGACGGGCTTGCGATTGCCACCGACCTTGGATATATATTCAATATATTCTTACATGGCAGTTAGTGGAAATCAACTTGTTGACATTTGACAGCTTTTAAAAGTTAAATTTGTACTCTTACTTTACTGTCATTACTTGTTTGTCATTAATATACAGCATCAGTCCGGATTGACTATAGTCCGTTTTGAAAAATTTCAAAACAAATTAAATTTTAATTGTGTAAAATTAAAAAATCTAACAAAATTATAGTTTTTTTCTTTATACAGTCAAATCTCTTTTTGTGTTGTTCTCGATTAGTGCGAGGTATTATTGTGCACTTAACCACTAGAAGCTCTCATTGAGTTGTTAATTCCAAATAAAAATTTAAAAAATATTCATTAATGACTTGAGATACTTAAAAACAAAAATAACTAACTATTTCTTGCAAAATGAACCACCTTAGTTATAGAGACATATGAAGTATTACGACAGCCGTTGAAACCGTACTAATCAGACCCTCAATTAGAAAATTAACTGTATAATAAGTTTATATTAATATTAATAAATAATTTTGTTTACTCGATTACAATTTTTTTTTGTTTCGAATTTTTAAATCGCACTATAGTGAATCAAAGCAGCATTATGCGAGTTATTGCTGTATAGGAAAAATTGATTAATACATTTTAAAAATACGAGACAACCCGAATACAATAATACCAATATCTTTATTTTTCGTGTTTTTAATAAAAATTTTGTTTGTTTGACCTAAATGTGTTCTTTCGTTTGCTGATGGCGCTGGTTCAATATCTGGCTTTCGTCGTTGTACTTTTCTCCCCATCCCTTCGTCTGCAATTACCATGTGAAATATGTTGGGTCGTATGCGTATAATTATTGTAAAACTTAGCCATTAAGCCCTCTGACTACAGCCGAGAATCAGTGAGATCGTGTAAAATCTAATTGTATAGTGAGGAGCCAAGTGCCAAGCAATAGAGAGTGGAGGCTATTCACGTAGTAGCATCAACGTTTGTTTAATGTGTTTTAGCTCTTTACATTTCGCCGTATAAAAGTTAAACAAAGAGAATAACAATTATTTAATATAAATTAAATGCATGATAATTAGTAAAATGCTAATGCATTTGAATTACTACTGTCACGAGCATATTTTATAATATATTTCGTTAGAATTAAACTTCAAAGTATATTATGAAATGTATACAGTGTAATAATTATGCTGATTTACGTTTTGTATTATTATTAAATTTTATTATTAGATAAGAAAAGAGCAAAAAAAAATGAATAAAATATTTAGAAATTTATAATTTTGAGATGAAATATGAATCAGACAATTTTTTTTATCTCAAATGAATTTGATTGATTTTACGTTTTTGTTTGACGAATGTTGTACCTGATTGGAAATGTCTTCGCACACGTGCGTGATGAATACAACCCTGATAGCATTTATCAATATCCAGATGATGCTCTCGACAAGTTCAATGACTTTACCGGTATAGTCTGTGATTAGCCATTCGTAAATGCCGTCGGTGATGTTCATCAAAGTGTTCGCGAATATGAAAACCAGCGGCACGTTGCAATTGACGTTAATTAAGCGTGCGGTCAGCCAGATCTTGCTGTAGACCACCCTCAAACGCATGATATCATCCCTACTCAGCTTCTGCTTGGAGCCGCCGCCACCACAGAATTGCATCTTCAGGTGCTTCAGATAAAAGCAAATCATGAAGACGCAGACATTGAATTGGAAGGCGTAAATGTTCTGCACGAAATTCGGAAAGTAATATGTGACAGAGTAATAAATCCCGTCCGGGTCATTAGTTAATCTTGCGTAGATCACGAAAGCGGTCGCCGCAAAATTTCCCAGCATCCAGCCGTGCGCCAGAGCCGAATATTTGTTGTCGTAGCGGAAATCCACTAAATCCCATTGAACATTTCTCAGGCGCACCAAAGTTTTGCCGATATTCCGGCGAGAAAACACGGACGTTAGCAGCAGGATGGCCAAAGTTGACACGTTTAGTACATCCTGTAAGTATCGGAGCGGGGATCTCTCCAATTCGGGCGTAAAAAACGTATAAAACACGAAACCTATTAAAGCGAAAGTGTAGGGGATGTAAATTAGGCTGGAACGATTCGAATACGAGCACGGAGCGAGACCGAAGATGATGCTGAATAGGCGGGATGGCATAGAAAGCTTGCAGAAAGCGGAACGGCCCTTCGAAGGACGACACATACTTCGATAACAACCAACCGAAACGAACGAAAGCACAAAACGACTAATACAATACTTGCCGAACTCACCCATCATCTTTCATAAATTCAATAATAAAAACGACATTCGACATCAACATGATTGACCTGCCCGCCCTGCGATGAATGAACACGATGAATTATTAATTTTCAATTATATGTCCAAATAGATTGTTCTGCGTGGCCTGCACTCAACTATCACTTTATTAGGTTCATTATGACGTAAACCGCGTCCACTAAACGCATAATGTTTCGTTTTCAAAACAACTACTGAAGCTACGAATAATTACGCGCACGCAAACAAAAACATATTTGTCCACAAAGACTATTAAATCATTTTTTCAGTACGATATTTTCTTAAGTACATTTTTAACAAGTACTTGTCAAGTAAAATTTATTAAAAAAATACTTCCATAAAAACTGTGTATTATAGTTGGTACAAAAAAAAAACAGCAAGAAAAAGATATTTCTACTGATTTCTTTGAAAAGTTTTTTATTTGAAGAAATAAATGGGATATTAAAAAATATATATGAAATTTTACCCAACAACATTTATTAATTGCATATAATCAATAGAACATTTAAAGCTAATAACATAACTATAGACAAATTATTAAAATTTATTCTTTTTCAAGCTGTCAATCAATTTCGAATTCCTTTCTGCGAGAAGTTCATCAAGCTGCGAAAAGACTTGATCCATTTCCTCGCTGTTCGACTCAGATTTTATAATGTTCTCCAGCTCTTCATTTTCTTTAGTGCTTTCTTCGATTTGATTTTCCAATTTCATAATTTCAGTGTACTCCTCGTTGCCTTCGATTCTGCTCTTCAAATCCTCACGCTTCTTCTTGGCCTCGACGACGGCGGATCGCGTCGACTCCAAAGTGCCTTGAAGCTGAAGCTGAGACTCCAAAAGAACCATCTTTTTATCCTCCATCTTCTCCTTGCCTGTCTCCACGTCGCTGTACAGATCCAATTCCTCGCGCATCTTTCCCATCTTCTCCTTCATCTCGCTAATCTCCCCTTCGTACTTCTGCTTCAACGCTGCGATCCTGTTAATTTGTCCGGTAAGCAGTTTGAACTTGTTGTTCCAACCTTCCACCGTGTTCTGCTCTCCAGAGTCGAACTTCACGTCCAGCTCCTTCAAATTGATTTCCGTCAGATTCTCAGATAAATACTCGAGAGCCGAAGATATCTCCACATTCACGTCCTTTATTTTCGTCTTTATCTCCTCGGATTTATCCCCATACTCGGCTATGAATTTCTCCATATGTTCTCCGCGCTCCCGCAGCTCCTTGTGCTTCTTCAGCCTGGCATTATCCTTGCCGTCGAGCTCGTGCTCCAAATCGGCTAAACGGCTCTCGTTATTGCCCAATTCCTCCTCCACGGAATCCTTAACTTTCATCAACGATTCGATATCGGATTTGTCCTGTTTCACTTGATCCAACAATTTCTCGCGCTGCTGCGCTGGGGTTAAGGTATTTTGTACGAACGTCTCCAATTCGTCCTTTTGCGTGGTCAACCTCGTCAAGTTCCTCAGCAATTGAAGCTTTTTCTGCTTGCCGCTCGACTGGGCGATGCTCGCTTTATACTTCTCGATGGTCTCCTTGGACTCTTTGATTTTACTCTGCATGTTCGATATGTTCTCCAGCACTTTCTTATTCTCTTCCGCCAGGGCGTAATACTTTTCGCGACTCTCCGGCGACAATTTCTCAATCAGACCCTTGATGAAAGCCTCTTCGTCTTGTATGCGGATCTTCAATTCGCCGATTTGCTCTTCCTTTTTGAGCTTCTTCTGGAAAACGTTGTCCAGTTCTTTGAGCAGCAAATCATTCCTCTGTTTCAATTCAGCCGTTTCAGCTACGATCTCTTCGGTGCGAGTTTTCGAGAGATGCATATCCAAAGCTGTGTTGTATATGGTCAGGAGTTCCTGTTTCTCCGTTAAAGATTTAGCCGTAGTTTCAGCCGTTCGCCGCATCTCCTGTCGATTTATCGAGGCAACCCTACAGTCGAGAGTGCTCTTATTCAGACGATTAATTTCATCCCGAATTGCGTTCATGTGAGCCTGGATTTTCGAGGTGTAGTAGCGTTTGTCGCGGTACATCCTATTCGTACCTTGCCCTGAAGTGGGCGGCGGACGGAGGCCGCTCAAACCCTGTTGAGTTATTGGCCTGGACGGCTGTAAAATCAAATTAACGTTTGAATCTCGTTGGTGGAGGTGCCGGTATCGTTTTCGAACTTACCATCGCAGATCGGGGAACCGCCATCCCTGTTGGGGGTCGGTTGGTCGACGGTCTCGAGGAGGGCTGCCTTTCCATCGCTGCACCAGAAACACTGGAATCTGCTGGAAACACATCTAAAGTCAGCAAAGTGTTTGAAACGTATTCGTTGCCTGGGCAACGTAAATCGATCACGGAAAATTTCGTTACGTCCCACAATTACCTCCTCCTGTATGCAACCAACATACCTCGCCCTTTTCTCTTGCAGCTTGATTAATTCAATTGTTTTACAACCTTTATAATTCTACAATATACGAAGCCCATGGAACGCTGCCATTGATGTATTAAATATTTGTGCATTTCCTTCATTAATTACTTTATACAAGCTTCAATACAAATGTTAGCTAAAGTTATAATCATTAATTCTCAATCTTGGAAATACAGTGAAACCTCGCTTAACGAGCATCTCGTATTACGAGTAATTCGCATAACGAACAAAAATTTTAACAAAAATGTAGACGCTTGTAAAGCGAGTCATGAGTAACGTGGAAAAGAGAAGTCCCGGATTGTGCGCCTGGTACATCATTTTCCAAACTTCAGACATATTATATGTGTTTTTTTTTTGTGTGTGCAAAGTTTCAAAACTCTTGCAAAAATGTCCCTGAAAAAAAACCGTTACAAGTGAGAGTCTGGAACTGATTATATTCGTTAAGAGAGGTATCACTTTATCGGTAATACTATGGATACTTAAGTTACTCATTCAAATATGATTATTTTATAAAAATAAACAAGTAAATGTACAATTTATTTTAAGAGAAGTTATAACATCAATGCAATATTAATAATGCCTCAGTTAAATACTATAAACTTTATTGAAATAAGTAGAGATATTTTACATTTGGTTAAAGTGAAATATAAATATTTCGATTAGTGCGACTTGACATATTTAAAACAAACTAAATTTTAACTAATTCTTTAAAAATAGTACAGAAAAATATTTTGTTTTGTGCTGTTTATTTTTATGCAGATTTTAAAGTTCTTGAACAACATTCAGTAAACATTAACTTTATTGAAAGCTAAAGAAATTACTAAATAATATACGATTATCTCTAATTTTGTAAGATTTTATTTAAATCACATAATTTTACAAATAATATGAAGTAACAATGTAACTTTATTCAATAAGAATATTAGTGAAAATTGTTAACAAAGCTTAGAATAACAATCTTAATAGTAAATAATAATTACACTTTAAATATAAATATTTTCGTTATATAATAAATAACTATAATTTATTGTATAAATAGGAAATATTTATAAACCGCAGTATTTACATCTTATTATATATTTATAGTAAGAAATAATAGCGTATTAATAATTTGTGTCGATTAAATCATTACTCATGTTAAACTTTTATTAAAATAATTGGATTTCAAGAGTTGTAAATAAATACAAATGTATTATAATCTGGGAATTCTCTACATCTTTGTATTGATGTATGCAACTGTACTTGCTGAAGTTGTAATCAGAAAATACTTTGCAGGTAAATTGGTTTAATGATTAAATTAATGCACAATCTATAATGAGATATATTCCTTGATTTTGCAGTGATTTCAATGCTAGTGTTAGGAGAAATCGCAAAGAAATAAGTGTTCAATGTGACAACGCGAGATGGAGGCAGTATCGCCGACAATGGTGTCCTACTCCTGACGTTTTGGACCCGTCCGCCATATTGTATATGGAGTGTGCACTTTGCTGTGGCTGTCAAAACACTTGGAGGATTTGTTTTTGAATTTACATGGGATTAATCCGTGCGAAGACCGTAAGTAGCAACAACCATAATCTAAATAAGATTCGACCAAAGAAAGCCTCGCTTCCTGACAGTCTAAAAATAACCCTGTTGCTTTTGTCGTCCGCTCTCACGCACACTCCTCCATGTAGAAGGTTTTATCTCCCATTTTTCCGACTTTGCATTTATCCTCTACACAAATATACCTCAAGGTAAATGCGACAAATGCTTTGTCGGTTTCGTTCCTTCAAGTTCGCGAATCCAATAAGAATCGCGTTTTACATAATAGAACAATGATCATCATCTTCATCACTACAATCCATCCACACTTTCCAATTTGAAGGATTTTACACCTGCCTATGCAAAGCAGCCAACCATGAAAAACTTTTTTTCTTCAACTTGTCTTATTTAAATGCCTAAGTGAATTGCATTAACAACAATGGTGAATCAAGGAAAACAGATTCTTATTTAAGTTTCAGACAAAACAAGTTTTATTACACATAAGCACACACATACATCTCAGATTGAAAGTCGATTGGGCTTGAAATTGAGGTTCTTTTTTCTTCTTCTTGAAAAGATACTAATTGCATTGTTTTCTCTCTGTTATGTTTCAAGTTCTATGTGTGCTAGTAGGTGGTAATTGACTTGCCACCACTTTGTGGGAGAGGATCCTCTGTGTGCGAGTTATGGATGGTAGTGGTTCAAAGTAAGTGTTTCCTGATTTCTAATAGCTATTATCCTGCAACTAGTGATAGGCCTAGCGGAGAAAGTGTCTGTCTGCCACTTCCTCCTCCTCCTTCTTCACTGTAAATGCACTTGGTTGTTGCACACTACTGCCATTTGTAGCAAGTCGCTTGGAAACTTTTAATTAAGCATCCCAAAAATAGTTAATCACCATCCTGCGGCCGGTCTCCAGCGGACGCCCAGGATATTTCTAAATCCTAAATGAAAAAAATGCATTAGAAAACGCGTTGCGGCAACGGCGAATGCGTCAGCTATGTGCTCACTCACTCCTCTGCTAATGTATTTAATAATTCGAACGTGAGTCATTGCTAATTGCGGATCGGACATGTGCAATGTTTTATGTATCGGGCGTAACTAACTGTTCCATTCTTTTTTATTGTTTGTTTATTGTGTGTCTCCGTTAAAATTCGATTCTGATCAATCCTTGAACTATTGACTTCGAGGTGGTGCTGTTGTCGCAGAGGGTGACGTTCGGGTTTTAGGGGTTGCGGGAAAAAAGCCCGCTCGGCGAAGATCGGCTTCTGGGGGGTGTGGGAGGAGCTCATGCTGCATGCTTATTCGTGAGCGCGTGTTCCGAGGGTTAGCAACGCAAGATGTAAGAGGCGATCGATAAAATCGCTCTAACATACACAAAACAGACACACACAAACAAAAAAAATAACACTAATAATCGGCTGTAATTCAATCAAAAAATTAGTATACTATTTATCAATATATACATAAACACATTCTAAGCTTGCTGATATGCTCTCCACGGCAGCAATTTGAACCCCAAAGTGCAAGTGCTTTTACACACTCGAAAGTTAAATGGAATTCGGAGCATTTATTTTGTAAATAATCTTATAGGAAGAAGAGATGTCTAAAACCATAAACGCGTATAGAATGTAAGTTTCCTGTGTGCATATATTTTTGTTTATGTTTTTGTTATATTATTGTTAAATTTACTTATCCGCAAGTTATTCGCACGTACGTTTTAACGCTTACTTCATATGCTGATAACCACTATCTAACATCCACTTTCGAATGTTAATATGCAAAATATAAATATTTACACATCGACGTAAAATTCGCTTCAATCATCTTTTTTTTTCGTATTATTGTTATCTGCATTTTCTTGGATTTCATTACTTCGTATCGATCGGGGGTGGTTGTGGTGGAGGTTGGGTTTGGGTTAGCTTGGTGCAAGTAGAAATGTGCAGCCAATCTGCTGCATCCGATTCCACCCCACCCCTTCGCCACCAACCCTCTAGACGCAGTGTGGACGTGATGAAATTAAGATTGAATGCGTTTCCACTCATATACTCTACTTTTTTTTGTCATTACATAATGGAAGTGGATTGGTAATTTGAAACGAATGTATCCATTGTTTATCTATCAATCAGTTTATTGATTTGTACTATTGATAGAAGTATGCATTTATGTGATAAAAAAAAACTTATGAAATACATCGAATTTAGTACAAAAATATATAGAATGAGTTAAAATAAAATATTATTAGTACTGAATATGCAAATAAACACAGAAATAGTCTTGATTAAATGATTTTTTTTTATATTTAATTGAATTTTTTGATTTTGTCGTTTGATATTTTGTATTTTTGAAAGATCAGATATCTTCAAATGTCAAATTCCAGTAATGACAGTTTCATTAACTTTCCATTAGATTTTTGATATTACCTTAACAAATAATTTAGTTAATAGTAATATTTAAACGAATATATCAAACATATTCAGCAATTTTAGATTTTTGAACAAATAATTACAGAATTAAATAATTCATTGGTTAAATTTATTTAGATTTTGCTGTAATCTTTGATATCTGCACTTTGAAATATAAGATATCTTCAAATGTCAATTTAATGTAAAATTCCAGTAATAAGTTGGAATTTCCCAATTTTTGATAATTTTATTAACTTTCCATTAGATTTTTGTTATTACTTTAAAAAATAATTTAGTTAATAGCAATATATACCCATCATTTCGCTTAAAGAGCAAAATAAGAAATATGACTCGCTTAACGAGCAACGTTTCGCATAACGAGTGACGATGAGAAGAGAAGTCTCGAATTGCGCGTCTGCTATATCATTTTTAAAACATGTGTACACATATGTGTATTTTTGAATGTGTTTCACTATACGAGTAAAAATCCGGAAATTTTGAAACGGATTAAACTCGTTAAGCGAGGTTCCACTGTACATTGATGGAAATAAATTTAGTTCAATATTCGGCAATATCAAAAACATTGGCTTATTTATAATAATTTGTGAACAAATCAAGTTTATTTATGTTGTAACTGTTGTAGTAATACGTTTATTATTGTTGTATATATATATTTTGAAAGTAAATTATGATTATAAAATCCTTTATTAAAAATAATACTATGAATCATGAAATTAAAAAGAGATTTTTTCGATGGAACGAAATGGAAACGCTGTTAATTGTTTATAATGAAAATTATATTCAGTCTTGCTTTCCATTACTTTTTTTTTCTAAGCGATTCCATCCGTGAAATTAAATAATTAGAGAATCCGATAATTAATTAGATATAAAATTCTTTCGAATTAATATTAATTTTCATTTTTAAAATTAATAATAATTTCAATTTGTAATTGTTTGTTTAATTGAGTATTTCATAAACTTCGTTTAATTATTGTGTCAACTGGAATTAATTGAAACGGATTGTAAAATTCGTAATAAAAGTTATAAATTTGAATAATTATATTTTATGAAATGATGATTTTACGCTTTTCTTTTAATCCATTTTTTTGACTATTTTTAATTCCATTCATTGACTAGTGGGGGAATTATCTTTTAATTTGGTTGGTTGACTAAGGATAAATGTTGATAGTGATGATTCAGTTGACATAGTTTAATTAGGAATTTCTGGCCTCTCGTAATGAATAAATAAATAATCTTAATTGAATATGAACGCATTTCTTTTATAATATGTTTATTATAAAAGTTCAAGTGATATTTAATGCTGACTTACACCAATTCTGAAGCAAAATAAATAATTGGCTTATATTCTTCTGATGAAATAAAAAAGAAGGAAAAAATATCTCCAATTGCGATGATCGATTGTATATGTCAGTATATCAATCGAGCTGTACATAATTCATTCAATATCCTCGCCGTGTTCGTTCTGTATTAACTAGGGAGAAAATTTGTTCCAACCCAGACACGACCAATTTCATTAACTTGGGTTCAGTTGCGCTGTTTTTTTTATATTGAACGTAATTGATTGAACTTTGTTATTCAATTTGCACTTTTGTAATTGTATTAAACTAATCAAGCCAAAAAATCCCATGCATTGTTGTTAGTTAATTGAGTTTTTTTTTACAATACATGTTTGATTATTAATATTGTGATGTTATGTTAATTAAAAATATAGTTCACAGTCTAGTCCGTTACACAGATAATAATAATTACAATAGATAATAGTATATAGATCAATAAATGGCCTAATTCTATAGAAAAAACAACAATGCAAAGCATAAGTATTGTGTAGTTTGTTCGGTTTAATCAATGTTCGTTACGTCTGCACTTCGATTTTTATGTTTTCAATTGAAAAATGAAATCTGTTTGTTTAAAGTTATTTAGATTTGCAATTGACACACGAATTTGTATTTCTGTGTCTATTGATAGATTGGATGTTGTCATCCTGTCTAGAGATAAAGCATTGCATCGCTTTATCCAAGCATCAACTAAGTAAAAATAATCGTTGACTTTGACCTTTAAATTATATTTAGTGCACCATATAATTGTTATATAATCAAATTGATAAAAAATAAGAATACATTTACTGTTATCAACTTTCTCAAGATTTCTTTAATTTAATAATAAATATTTTCATTAATAACACTAATTATAAACTATGTTTATATTTTATTAAATGATTCAATGAAATAATCTTGCTTCTGATTTAAAAAAAATTGAATCTTGCAAGGAATCTGATAATTAAATAGAAGTAACACTATCCGAGGGGAACCTTGAAAATTACATAACAATTTTTAAAGCGAAATTGTTGTGAACGTTATTATTTTGTTTTATTTCTAATATTTTTTGTTTTTGCTCTAGACATATTATTAGATAAGGTGTGTTTATATACAGAATCATGCTTGTTTTTGTTATAAACAAGTATTATATGCATTATCTAATAAGTAGACTGAATGATAAAATCCAGATTCATAGTACGTGAAATATATATTAATATGTTTACCTGTTCACTTCCATATTTATAATTGTTGGATAGTAGGCCTTGATTTCGTGTCGTGTACAAAATGAAAATAAAGGACAAAGTAAACATACTTTATAAATTTGTTTATTTGTTGATACAAATGAATGATTTTGTTGAAGGATATGAAATGATATCGAATATCTTGATATTAAAGAGCCAAACATAAATATACACTTTATATTAATTACAGCCAAACAAATAATTCTTATTGAGTCTCTATAAAGTGAAAGCCAATAGAATTTTAACTGAGTATAGAGCGCAATTACATGATTTCTCTAACTCTAATTATTACGGACAAATGCATTATTACAATGGTTTTAAAAAATGTGAATCTCTATTTCCTTATTATTATTATTATACACACGTACACAAACATTTTTCGTTACTTTACACATAGAAATTATCTACGGAATATATTGCTATCTTTGCAATACTTAATATTTATTTTTTAGAAAGCGAATGAGTCATTGAATTTTTTGCATCGTTATGTAAATGGCGTAGACGCAAAACGATCGTCTAGTTTTTTTTTTGTAAACCCTAAATCTAGTTTTGGTCTAGTTTCACACACGGGAATAGCTTATTAGAATATGGCAATTCGTGTTCCGACTGGTATGATGATGGTAATCTCGGAACGCTTCATAAAACAATCAGACTACACGTTTTCAGAGCAATTTAAATATTCTGTGATCCCAAAGCACGCGATGTTTTTTTTTTGTTACTTTGCGTCTTCCATCATTTCGATTGCATAGAATCACCTTGAATTTTTCATGTATAAAAACATAAATTCTCATGCACTGTCGTTGCGTTTAGTTTTACTGCGTTCTCGACAATTTTGTCATATTTCTATATTTTGCATGTGTTTATAAAATAGTTTAATATTGAGAGAATTGTTTCTTTGCATAGTTGCAAGTTATTGTTATGTGCTTGAATAGAAATGTAATAAGACAAGTATCGACTTTTGTATTCGTAATTTATCAAAAAAAAAACTTTTTGTTTACTGATAGTTCTCAATATTTATTTGAAGCAATTGTAAATATTTTTAAAGAAATTTAATAATATTGTAGAATGTTTTCGTTTTTGGAAAATGTTTAATTAATTTACTCGAGAATTTTTTGAACAAGTTTGTATCACAAGTCGATGATTGTTTCTCCTTGGCCTAGTGTTTTCATCTTCGGGTTTCATGTTTACCTCGAAGTTATCATTTTTATGTAAAATTACAGTAATTTTCTTTTGGAGCATAAGACTTTTTAACGTAGAATAATTGACTTATAATTGGGGTGCGTCTTATACGATAATATAATTTGTACTTAAAATTGTATTATACGCTTGTATCTTATTGTAGGGTATAAATCATTGTTGAAATTGTAAACGAGTAGGATGTTTTCCCTATTGTCATGCGTTGTTATTGGAATGTACATTTTCTCTACACTATATCTGCTTCGCTTTAATTGTTCCGATGAATAATACAGATGGATTTCGATGTGTGTTTCAGTAAGAAAATTGAGAGTCTAGGAAAAATGACGGCAATGAGCCAGGAAGAGATCGTTTCCGCAGTCAGAACGGTGGCCCAAGGGCTGGAGGCCCTTCGTTCTGAACATGCCGGTATGCTGCACGGACTCCACGAGGCTCCCGATCCGGTGGCCAACGAAAGGGCCGGTATGGTGCAGCACAGCGCCGAGATGATCGAACTTGGACTTGGCGAAGCACAGGTAAAAACTTGATATATATATATAGAAAAAAAACTTGAACACTTCATTTGATATGAAGCAGTTTGCGTTTGGTGAAAGGTCGGAGCCGGCCTGTCTGGCTGGCATCGATCGCGTTCCACGCTCGTGACGCCAGCCAACGTAGAGCTCTAGTTTTACAAAACTACCGGTTACATTGCTGTGAGTCACGCACGGACGGTTGTTCCATAGCATCGGAATCCTGTTCCTGTTGTAATTCATTCCGTTGTCGGAAGAAAGGGAAGGAAAAAACATGAAGCGAAATTACCAGAAATCGATGCCCTTTGACATTGGAATTTAAATATGTATATATTTGGATATCCTATATCAACGTGGACGTTCAGCTTCGATACTAATTGGATCGAGTATTGTTTTGAATGTCATGGATTAATCATTCTCTTAGACCCATCTCTCGGCCCATTACCTTTCGTATCGTATTCAGTATACAAATTAAGCCATCCATTTGCGTATTCCTTTCCATCTCATATTGATTTGCTATTTATTCCATTAAGCAAACTACTTATATAATGACAATTTATTAGTCGATTCGATTTTTATGTAATTAAGCTACTAATGAAAACAACACGTTTGAATCAGTAATAAAGTTCATACATTTAACACTTTAGTACATTTTCTTTATTAATTTGAATATAGCTGTTTAATTTAAGTAATCCAAGTTTATGAATACATTTATTGATATTGAGTGCATAATCTACTTGGCAAATGCTTTGTAAATTATTTACAAAGTCTTGCGTATTGGAGCAATTGGTTTTATATGTGAAGTAAAAGTTCTTCTTGTTTCCTTCAGGTTTATTTTTTCAATAAAATAAAAACGAAATGAAGGTTTCACCTTGGTGATTATTTGTGCCAAAGACTTATGCTTCATTTAAAGTAGTGGAGTTGATGTAATTACTTTGTAGTTATAAGCACAATCGATAACTAGTTCTTTTGTGATAGTCAATAGCGTTTGAAGCCTACCCAACCGAATGTGGCAACTAATTCTGCAATGAACCACGTAAAACACTCGTGTAATACAGAACATTGGCGGAGGAGCCTGGTATTTTGTGCTAGAAAATCTTTAGTGTACTTTATTTTCTTTTAATATGTTATTATTTCTATTTTCCACGAAAGACAGAATCTAATTTTATTATCGTCTTTGTTAGACACTTATTCAGAGACTATATATAATTGTTTGACCTTTTTTTACAATTCCCATAATATATGTATATCGAGTATCAAATACGGTTTCTTGTAATGTATCTCTTGGGGTTTTTTTTCCTTTCCTTGCGAAAATATCGATTGGTGTCAATGATTAAACTTTGAAGCCCATAAAACTCTCAAGTTCAGCAGACTGAAATAAAAGGCATCCTGATAAATGTCCGGATTTTGATGAATTCCCATTGCAGCTGCGGATTATTTGATATTGTTTTGTTAGCATTCGAATTTCCTGTGTAGATTAATGGCATTTAAAATGAAATAAAACATGTATTTATAGAATAAATCGTTGAATTCCAGAGCAATTACCAAAGATAAATTATAGGCGCATGTTAAGGTCGTTGAGAAGAATTGTATTGGATGAAATCTATAAAATGTTTCCTAGGCTTTTAATGAAATATTAATATTATATGTTATTTAAATGTTAAAATTTTGCGATTTTAGGTCATCATGGCGTTGGCGGCTCACCTTCAGATGGTGGAGGCTGAGAAGCAGAAGCTTCGTACTCAGGTGCGTCGTCTCTGTCAAGAGAACGCCTGGCTTCGAGATGAGTTGGCGTCTACGCAGCAACGTCTTCAAGCCAGTGAGCAAGCTGTGGCTCAGCTGGAGGAAGAGAAGCGCCACATGGACTTTATGGCTTACGTCTCTCGCTACGATCAGGATGTCACCGATGAAAATCAAGGAGATCAGTCGAGATCGGAGAAAACCGATCCGGTCGTCGATCTCTTCCCTGACGACGATAACGAGGATAGGAACAGTACGATTTCCTCATTTTTTAGACACTTTCAATTCTACTATTGATGATTTCCATATGTTTTTAGATATGTCGCCAACACCTCCAAGTCAGTTAGCCCAGCAAGTGAACGCAGGATACGAGATCCCAGCAAGATTACGGACACTACATAATTTGGTCATCCAATACGCTTCCCAGGGCCGCTACGAGGTGGCAGTGCCATTGTGCAAACAGGCTCTCGAGGATTTGGAAAAAACCAGCGGACATGATCATCCCGATGTTGCGACCATGCTTAACATTCTCGCTTTGGTCTATAGGTAAGTGAATCTAATATGATTCATCTCTTTACTAATAAGTGAATGCATTTAGGGATCAAAATAAGTACAAGGAAGCTGCGAATTTGTTGAACGACGCTTTGGCCATCAGGGAGAAGACTTTGGGCGAAAATCACCCGGCGGTTGCTGCGACTCTGAACAATCTGGCTGTCCTCTACGGAAAGCGCGGAAAATACAAGGAGGCCGAGCCGCTGTGTAAGAGGGCGCTGGAAATCCGCGAAAAGGTCCTTGGAAGGGATCATCCGGACGTCGCTAAGCAACTCAATAACTTGGCCCTGCTGTGTCAAAATCAAGTACGTAGATTGAGGAGTATATTGTTTGTGAGTTTTCACTAATTACTAAAACTTATTTCTGAAGGGCAAATACGAGGAGGTCGAGAGGTATTATCAACGCGCGTTGGAGATCTACGAGAAGCGCTTGGGACCGGACGACGCGAACGTTGCCAAGACCAAGAACAACTTAGCTTCCTGTTACTTGAAGCAGAGCAAATACCGCGAGGCGGAGGGTCTCTACAAGCAAATCTTAAATAGAGCCCATGAACGCGAGTTTGGTACCATCAACGGTAAGCCCATTAAACCGATCGAACCCAAAAAATAAGTTCTCGTAGCATCCGTACTTTATCCGACATTAAGGCAACTATAAAATACACAACAATTGTTTGACTAGTAATTTGTCAACTATTTGCACTACATAGTTAAACATTAGTTAAGTAGATACACACGCCAAATGCATGTATTTGACAAGTATATCGTAATCGCTGGGATGCGCATACGAAAGTGTTGCAATATATATACTTGATTCTATATATAATTATAATTAATTAATCTTACAAGTACTTGTCCAAGTTGCCAAATACATGTAATTGACGTGCAGCCTTATTATTTTTTTTGCGTCAACTTTTACTGCACTTTTTTCTGGTGCATATCGACCCTATCACCTAGCTAGATGCACGATCCCGAGGATTTCGACTTGTCGTAACTCGACTTTGTAGGATTATTGTTTATTTTTTTGGATTTGCGGTGAACTTCGCATCGGTTATTTGTGATACAAACGATAAAGCTACGCCGTCTTTATTTTTTTATTTTAATATTACATTCCTTGACTTAATTATTTTATCTTTTTTTGTATTATATTTTAATTATTTTATTTTGTTGTAAGATTCTTTATATAATACATGAAACTAATTGCAAAGTAATTTACGTGACTAGAAATCATGTACATTTTTCTTATTTATCTTTTCTTGCTCGTTGTTGGCTTTTTATTTATTTATTTATTTACTGCTATCAATTTCCCTATCCCTGTGCAATGGCGGTAAAAAAAGTACAAGCATCGCGCGATAGTTTCCGTTCGTCTTTGTAATGTATTTTTGTGTTTTCTCTTTTTGTTTCGGCGCTTGCTCTCGTTGGGACGGACGGTTTTTGCAGGTGATAACAAGCCGATTTGGCAGGTGGCCGAAGAGAGGGAGGAGAACAAGGCGAGGAACAGGGAGAACGCACCGTATGGAGAATACGGGGGATGGCATAAGGCGGCCAAAGTTGATTCGCCGACGGTCACCACCACCCTTAAGAACCTGGGCGCCCTCTACCGGCGACAGGGCAAGTACGAAGCCGCAGAAACTCTCGAGGACTGCGCCCTCAGATCCAGAAAAGAAGTACGTAACAATTACAATTTTAAAAATCTTTATATTCTTCGAGTCGTTCGATTTGTTTGTTTATTCTATTTGCCAATTAACAATATTACTATTATCATCATCAGTCGAAGCTTTGAGTTTGTCGGCGATAAACTTGGAATAATACATTTTGGCTTATTTTTAATTAGGGGGAAATCTATTATATTGGGCGAAAGTTTGCTTACTTGGGGAAATTTGCTTTCAGTTATATATTGATTATTAAAGCTTGAATTGATAACTTTTGAAATTGCTTAACCCAGGTAAATCTATTATAAATATAACGAAGTTATATTTATATTCTACAAGTATTGAGTTATATTTTTTTAATACGCTTTTTTGCTTGAATACGACTATTTCATGTCATCCTATCAACGCCTATTGACATGACAGAAATAATGATTACATAATTATATTCAGTAATTTCGATTTGGCTTCGTTTTCGCTTTAATTTTAATCGCATGAAACATCGAATGGAAATTCATTTAAAAAAAGAATTATTTACAAGGATAATATCTATTTCAATTTTACTAGAAAGTACATAAAGTTTATATATACAATCGATGCGTCTTGTATGGTGGTTAATTATTGAAAATATTATTTTTTATTTATAATGAAAAATGTAAAATATAGAAATTTTAATTTTTTCATAATTTCAATGTTATAAAGTAAATAATATTTTTTTAGGCAAAAAAATAACATTAGATACACATTGGTTAGATTTACAAGATAGTTTAAATTTGATTGAATTTTGAAATTGAAGATGTATATTCTCGCAGAACTGAATTATTATTGAAAATCAGCAGAAATTTTCAATTGAAAAAGTGCAGTAGTTTTTATAAATAACTGTTAAGGTCCAAGTGTTGATAACTTGAAATATTGCAATTATACGCGTCTACGTTTAAAAAGTCGTATTCTTAATATTTTATTTGATTTTTATTTGAATTTTTGTTAATCATTTTCCATTCTTTTTTTCCATTATTAACATTAACGCTAACTCGTGCGCTCTGCAGCATGTGCAACAAGTAAGTTTTCCATTACTTATCTAATTTGCATGCTTTGATTATTTAGTTTTTTTTATCCACTCAGTAGATTTATTTTGACAATTAATTCAGTAAAATTTGCTCTAACGAAAACATTAAATAACAAATAATATTTAAGTAAATTATAGTAAAAAAAAAGATACTGATCTTTAATTTCGTTACGTTAGGCTTTGGATATTGTGAAACAATCTCGAGTCAGCTCGTATCTGGGCTCGTCAAGGAAACCTAGTGCAGGTAAAGAGAGGACTTCTCGCAGGGGATCCAGGGAGTCCTTGGACATGAACTACGAGGGAGACGAGGTACGTAGGAGGAAAAAAAAGTCGGAACGTTGAAGAGTAGTAGGTGATTCCGATGGTTTGCGAACATTTTAATTCGTTTTTTTTTTAAATTTCTGCTTGTAAGATTACACGTTTATCATTGTTTTATTATTATTTTTTATATTATTCTTCATTTCGTCTTCGTGGTCGAAAATATTCGTCGATTCAGTATTATCAGTAAATTTTGCCTGATAGCAAAATAAAATAAAAATATATAGCAAATTCGCAAACTGTCCGATCACGAAGCGTAGAGAGAAAGCATTTATCAACTCTAGTCTTACTATTACAATCATCATTATTATTATATACACGTGTTGTGTAATTTTTCTGTAAAACATTCACGTAATTTTTTTCCCTTTCGTAATTTTGCAATTTTATATTTTGCGTTAATATAACTATTTTTTTTTGTTTTTATTATATATATATCACCATTTGTTCATTACAAATTATGTCGTTTCGTATTTTTTTTTGTAATTTATTTTTTTCTCACGTTGATTGACGGTTTGTCCATTTGTTGATTCTTCGTTTGAACATCTACCATCATCCACCCACCATGTCATGTCGCTTTGTATCTGTGTGTTTGTGTGTGCCTTGAGATGTTTGTATTTTTATTTTTTTTTTGTTGTTGAAATTTATGTTTTTTTTTTCCTTTCTGTTTGGGACGTTTTCTTTTTGTTTTTTCGACAGAACAATACGGCCCGGACACCAGACAACGAAAAGTCCGGCCTTAAAACGAAACTGTTCAATGCCCTTGGGATCCACTCGCCGACACCGAACAAGCCCAGCTCTTAAAAAAAAAGCAAAACAAAAACACGCATTACATATAAAACAAAACACTTATTTATATACACCATATATATATATAATATTTAACCAATTCTGTTTTTTGTTCCTTCAAACTCTCGAATCTTAATTATTATTGTTTTGAAGAAGGAGATAACTAAAGGCTTAAACTACTTCAATTTCTTTCTTATTGTTTTTTTCTATATATAGCAACGCACTTGTGATTTATCGAAATCTAATTTATTATCGATTAGTTATAATTTTATATAGATACATACTATGTATAATTATATATTAAACGAAGCGAGAAACTGGCTCATATTTGCTAGACTATTTTCATATTTCGAGCTACTACAATTTATATACTTACACACAATTCAAACATCGGTTTAGGTAAATCTTCAAATTACGTTGATCGCAATAATTAATCCACATTCCACATTAATCTCACTCTTTATATCTCTATCCATTATCTGTTTGTTCGTTGTTTTTTTTTTTTAATTTTACTATTACATATTAATTAATTATTTTATAAATTTTACCATTTGGTTGTGTATCAGTAATGCCTTTGTCACTTTGAAGTTTGATTTTAAACTGTACAAAAGGCGTGCGCGCCTCCGCTTCGACCCGTTTCCGTTCCATCGGGTCCGAACGTATCGAAACAAAGAACTATTAAAATGGAAACACTTCCGGTCAGAATCTTCCGAGCAAACTTAGTTAGATTTTTGCAGTCGACTTAGGGTTACTTTCGCCTGTGAGCTGAAATTATTTAAAAGAGACAGAGAGAGAGAGAAAAAAATACGCTAAAAATTGGAATTGATGAGACGAAAAGCCACCGTATGATATAATAATGAGGTTTCCTTTTTTTAAGTATTTATTTAGATAGTGTTTAATGAACTAATGAACATCGGTAATACACGAAACATCAGTTTTGTCAAGAATACTTATTATTACTACTATTATTTTTATTATAATGAAATATATATTTAAATAAAAATATGATGAGAATTCTAAAAAAAAGAACTAAAACAACACCCCCTGTGTATATATATATTTCCAATTATCGACGAAAGAACTGAGAGAGAGAGAGAAAAAACAAAAGAAGTGATATGTTACTAGCAGCACTCTTGTTATTTCGTATTTTTTTTGCAAATCCCATGAAAGCAGCATGCAGCACTCTACTATGTTTTTTTTAATACAAGCTATATAATAAAAAAAATTAACCGTCACGAAACACATGCCACCACCACCGCTTTGTGCCTGCCTTTGAGTTATTTTTGCTTAAGCTTAGAGTTGATAAAACGCATTATATGTATATATATATTGTTCTTCGGCACCATTATTTTATTCTTTCGTACTTCTTCTGTTCTATCTTAATTCTGTACTTTTACATCCCTTTGTTTGTTTTTAATTATTTACTTTTCTTTTACTGACGCATCGCTGCAGGAGGGAAGGAAAGGACGAGTTCAGTGAAACCACTACTGCTACTACTACTACCGCTACTACTATTGTTAACTTTCAGACATCATCGTGACTACTAAACAGAAAAGAATGTTGAGAAATCAGTGTACAAAACTAACTATTAACGATTCTATTGATTGATTATTATCGATAAGAATGGGGATGGGTGTATTTGTCGAGGCTTGCACAAAGTGCCGCTTTTTTTACATTTGTAAATGCGCCACATAGAGATGAATGTTGGAATCAGTTAGTTGGCTAAATTCAGTTTTCTTTGAGGAAAAAAAAAACAACTAATAATCTAAAATGTTAACACTTAAATACTGTTTCATTACTGGGCTGCTGTGCACTAACCAACGTTGTGTAGTATTTGCGGGGAGGAGGTATTCATGATGTGTGCGTTCTCTTTGTTTTCTTTTGTCTCGTCTGTGAATTTGTGTGATTTCCGTTTCCTATCGAAGTTCAATTACATTAGCTACAAACTATAACGAACAACTAATCATTACTAATTATGAACGATGTACGCTTTCTTTGCAAACAACAACAAAAAGATAATAGTAAATTCCATTAATTAATTAAATTTAATTCGATTTTTTCCAATTTTGTGCTGATGTTTACTAACTAACCGAGATTACAAAATGTAAGGTAAGTACACGTTTTTATTAATTAAATACTTAAGATTTAAATCAACTTTCGTGTTAATCAACAGATTCATGTATAAAAAGAATTCTAGAATATTAATATTTGACTATTAAAATTGATATTATTTTGTATCCTAGGGAAAATAAGATGCATCTAAACCAGAGTTCTTCATTACGAATAGAGATTGTCAAGTATATAAATTGTACTTGTATTAATAAAAGTTATTTACCTGAGTTACCAAAATAGATAAGAGCTTTTACAAATATTTGTTTTAATGCACCAAATATTGTTAATTGATCATTTCTACTAAATAATTAAATGTATTGTGTAATAGTTGTTTAAGAATTCATTTAGTTATTTCAAGTTTTGCATATAACTGAAATACATTTTACTGTTGATGCATAATATCAAATACATAAAGTACAGTTTTAGTATTTAAGAACAATTTTTCATTAGTGAAAACTGAATTTTATAAAGTCTTAGTTTTAAATAAAAGAAATGTTGGAAAATTATCAGCAAGAGATGACATAATTGCTCTAAATTTAACACAATGCGTTGTTGGTTGCATCATTTTGTTATTCCTGCTACTGTCAGTCATCTGTCAAACATAGTCTGACTTAATAGAATGGAAATAAATGGAACCTGTTGTCTTGGAAATTTCGTTTATTAGGTGTGTATTGAATAGCAATTGCACTAAATAACATATCATAGGTATACATAATTAACATTTTTTTTTATTAAGTATGCAATTAATTAATAGATCATGTATTTTATATTATAGTCAAAATGGGAACTTACTTAAATCAATTCTATAATTTGGGGGGAACGACGATTGGAGAGCATCAGCGCAATTTTCGCGGCTACAAAACTGTTCTTAACGGTTTACAGAAAGCAGAAGTTTCTGTTTTATTAAATGCCATTAATCCGAGAAATCACCAAGAGGAAATATTCCATACGAAACTGTTACTTTTCTTCGATCAGCACGAGAAATTGCTGCAGATTTTCATGTGTTGCAACAAAGTATTGAATCGGATCATCGTCAAGGATAGGAAATTTATAGGGTTTGTGGTTTCTAGTTTTGATGCGTCTGGTTTCGTGGAAGAACTGTGTCCGAAACTCTCTTACGTGGTCAGATGTGTGCTCGTTAATAAGTTGGGTCTGTTTTTGGAGCGTGGCGATGATTTCTTTAAAGCAGTTGAAGAAAAGTACGGTTTGGGAGCTGCGGTGAGGCTCCTTCCGTCCTGCAGCGAAACGCTTATTAAAAAGATGATATCGTTTTATCATGTTGATTTTAACGATCGTGAGTTGATTAGAATTTACAAGAAGTATCCGAGCTTGGTGAAATTTTACTTTGAGAGTACAAAAAATAGATACGAGTCCAAGTTAATGCTTCAGAGGTATTTGATAAAGAACGACATGCCGGGTTTCATCACACTTTGCACGAAATATTTGCAGTGCAAGTTCGGCAGGAAGGGATTCCTCAAGTTCCTACGAATCAACAAGGAATATATCATCGAAAATCCTACCGACTTTAAAAAATACGTCAAAAGCATTTATCGGCATTTAACTGACGCCGAGTTTAAGAGATACTTTACAAATATGTTTCCTAAGAACTATGAGCTTTTCAGGATGGAAACGATTCTTGACAATTTGAAGCTGTTGCATATTGACCAATGGAGCTCATTATTTTGCGAAATTTACAAGAGTTTGTACAGCATCGAATACGTAGATGAAAAGTGTTTGGCAATGATGTCTGCAGAGGCTCCACTGAGATTCAATATGAATTCTTTTTGGCACTTTTATCATTTGGAAGAATTCAGGAAGATGAGAATCCAAATTAGTTTGGCAAAAGAAGCTAACTCCAGGGTAAAAATGCTAAATAAGTGTATAGAAACGTGTAAAAATGATAATAATACGACCGCACTTCTAGGATTGCTGCAATTCTTTTGGTCAAGACACAAGAATGATACGTTCAGTGTTAGGGCACAATTTTTGTTCTGTTTAATCAACAACTTCGATTTGATAGAATTGAGTGATGAACATTGGAAGTATATTAATAATATAGTGTTCGAAGTGAATGGAGATCCGTTTTACTATAAATCGGACATATTGAAGAGGATCATTTACAAGAAGATGAAAAATGGAGAAAACTGCGACGAGGAATTGGTTACACTTCTAGATGAGCTCGGTGTGTTCGGCAGCTGGAGGTTACCGACGAACCATCCGGTGCAAGAACGCGAATGTCTTTTAAAAATTCCTCATCTGTGGCGCAGAACCAAACACCTCAATGAGTTTGTAGCAGAACCTTGTTTCAAGTTTTTGAAGACAATCTGCGAATTCAATAAAAACCATCCAAATTATCGCATCTCCTACTACAAATTCCCAGAAATGCTTAAATGCTTAGTGGATAAATTTGCGGAATCCGAAAAAACTTCTAAAATTTACACCGATTTGATGAATAACATTTTGCGTTTTATTCCCGACGAAGAAGAAGAGAAAGAATTGCGTTTACAAATTTTGGAAGTAATCTTCCGTGATGATAGGTATTATTTTCCGGAAGTGTTATACCTGTGGATACTGAAATACCATCCGGATAAGATGTTAGATAAAGTCGAGCGCGTTTTAATTAGATTATGGAAATTTCGCATATTGAATTATGAAATTTCCAAAATGCATTACAACGGAATTTCCGATGCTTTCAACGGTGTCGCTACTGAAATTCTCGACGATAACAAAAAGATTGATTTATTTCCAAAAATTCTTTGGTGTCTTTCTTACAATACCAAATACTTGCATATGATTGAACCTTTCATCCCATCCGCAGCAAGCGAGATTGATTTATGTTTTGAAAAGAGCGGCGTACAAAGAATCATATTAAAAACTCTGAGAAACACGTTCAAACAATCTGATAACATTTCAATCATATTGCATTACTCAAACGAAGATAACGTGCAGTACTGTTTAGAACCGATGTACAGAACTTTTTATCACACGCCGCAGAATCTTATAGAAGCACCTTTGACTGTATTAGCATCCCGGTCGTTTTCAGTAAGGAAACATTCAATTTTCTTAAGCACAGCTCTTCTTCCAATTAAGAGAATAGTTGAGATCCTGCAGGGACTCCAGGAAAATGACGCTTCAGCTAGAAAAAGGATTTTCAAATGTAACTATTCCTGTTTGATTAGAAATCCCACATTGGAGATATTACAATTGTTCATCAATAATTTACAGTTGCTCCATGGAAAAGATATTGATAATCTGGACATGATTTTGCGAATCGATAAAATTCCTAAGAAAATTTTCGTGGCTTACTTTTCGGTGATATGCAACTTTGGAGATAGCATTATGGAATATAAGAAGTACAAGATTATTGGTTACCTGGATAAGTATATTAACAAAGTTCCGGATATAGTTTGCTACAAAATCATCAAGGACTATTTATTCAACCCTGATAACATATACATCTCAGACACAAACAGATTCGTTTACAATTACATCACTTCATCTAAATCTACTGCGGTGACATTTTTCATTGACAAAATCGTAAACACGCATTCTAAGTCGTTAAAATTCGGGAGAGTTATTTTCACCTGTTTCAAGGAAATTTGCAACATGTTACTGAAGGACAATGATAAACCAAAAGCGTTAGACGTATCGCAGCAACTTTTAAATACAATTGAAGCGTTTGCTTTTGATAACTTCAAGATTAAAGTTTTACTTAAATTTGTTATTGAATATCTCGGAAAGGGGTACAATTCGCTGCCAGTCTTTATCGTGGAGCAACAGAATGCACTAATCGAAGCTTATGGAGTGGAAATATTCGTTCCATATTCGAAAATCGTCGGCATATCTCTGAACATCATTTTAACATCGATAGACCTTAATTTTAATGATATGACTTACTTACTTATATTTCGTTTACTGAAACTTTCATCATCGATACACAACAAGCTGTTGGCTGTTCAACTTTTACCTTCGGTCGGGTCGAGGAATGCGAATCACGAGGAATACCATGCAACTATTAGAGAGGAATTGAAGAAAGATCCTAATCCTCTCATCGATACGTTCCTCGACATCGATTCTGAATAATCAACGTTTAAAAAAAAAAGTTAATTTAAAATGTAAGCGTTTGTCAACTAATTTTATATTGTAAACATTTAAAGATACATTTATATAAATAATAACAATATTTAATGCATAATTACATAATTTAATCTCCTTACCAAATGGTCGGCGTCTCTTCGCACCATTTTTTGCCATCGTACTAAATTTTACAATGTTTTAGTTATTTGATGCAGATTTGTCGTTTATTCGTTGTTTTTCTACTTTTGACATAAGTAAGTAATGTTTCAACTTATTATTATTATAATTAAAAATAATTCACTCAATATTTTTGCATTTATTCAGTTTGTGTCCAGTTTTAAAATAAAACAAGTTATACCTAGATGGCGGTCTGTTCTATTTTCAGGTATTTGCATCTTGGGTTGCGTTAAACTAGAATGTATAGTAATTCCTGCTGAACTCGGCGACAGATGTTTCTCCTGCAGTGTATATAAATTAGTGTTTATAGTGTACCAATACTCGCAACAATTGCTTATATACAGTGAAATACCTTCAATCGGTCAGTATTCCGATTATCTAATTTCATATTCTTTATAATATTCTAAAAATATTAAATCACATACTAATATCGATTTTGCGTGTTTTTATTTAATATGATTGGATGACTCATGGAAGAATATAAATAAAAAAATACATACAATACATTGCAAATGGTCATTTTCAATTAACGAAGAGTGTTTTATGCCTGTAATCAATAGTTTATAATATTATTTATTTATTTAACATTATTTTTTTTGGTTTTTGGTCCAAACGTAGTCTTTTCGCACTAGTATAATATATAATAAATTATCGATAATATTCATTTCTTTTTGTTGTAGGCGAAATGCACAATAATTATATGGAACAGTTCCATAATTTGGGCGGAAAAACGTTGGGAGAGCATCAGCGTAATTTACGTAAATATTGTGTAAACGTTTCCGGTTTACCGAAAGCTGAGATTGACGCTTTGCTAGAGGCTATTAATCCGAAGAATCACCAGGAAGATATATTCTACACGAAGCTATTGCTTCAGTTTCATAAGAACGAGAAAATTCTGCATGTTTTTACGAATTGCAACAAGGTTTTGAATCGGATCATCGTGAAGGATAAAAAGTTTATTGGATTTATTGCTTCGATTGGGGCGACTGCATTTGTGGATGAACTTTGTCCGAAGATATCGTACGTTGATAGAAGTATAGTCATTAATAAGTTGGGTTTGTTTTTGGAGAACGGCGATGATTTCTTTGAGGCGGTTAAAGAGAAGTATGGATTGGCCGCTGCAATCAGATTGCTTCCGACGTGCAAAGAAGAACTTATCAAGCAGCATATTGCCGATTATAACATTGATTTCAGCGACCGCGAGCTGATCAGGTTGCATAAGAAGTATCCGAACTTTTTGAAGTATTATTTCGAAGTAGATGAATACAAGCAACTAAACTCTAAAGTTATGCTTGTGAAGTATTTAGTTAATAACAATATGGATACGTTCATGACTCTTACTTCAGATTTTTCATATCATAGTTTAGGTAGAAAGGGATTCCTCAAGCTTTTGCGACACGACAAGAAGTTTGTTATTGAACATCCCAGCAATTTTAACAAATACATAAGTTGCATTTACCGACATTTGGATGAAACTGATTATCGGCAATTTATGAAGAATTTGTTTCCAAAAAATATAGAAGAGCTGTATTGGATGGACGGAATTTTTAGATGCTTCAAATTATTACCAATCGATAAACGATGTCGGCAATTCTGCGATATTTACAAGGAGATTTACAGCGTCGAATACACAACGTTCGATTCCAATTTGATGGAGATGATCAGCACCGAGGACCGCCTTAAGTTCGATTTAGAAGAAAATTGGGAGTTTTACCCTTTGAAGGAAGCTTTTGAACAAATTAAATATAGAATCGATTTAGCGCACGAAATTAATGCGAGAAGTACGTTGTTGTACACGTTAGTTCGAGCGTGTAAAATTAATAAAGATGACGATGCTCTGCTGGAAGTCTTGAAATACTTCTGCTCCAAGCACAAGAACGACACGATCGACGTTAGGAAAAACTTTTTAAGAAGTTTGACCAGCAACATCAATTTGCTTAAACTGAGCGATGAGCATTGGAAGTATATAAACGAGATTTTATTGATTTTTGAAGTAAACGGAGACTCGTATTTCGATAATGCGACATTTTTAAAGTCTCAGATACTTATCAAGGCGAACAAGGGTGAGAATTGCGACAAGGAATTGGTGAAGTTATTGAAGGAGATTGGAGTGAACGGGGATTGGAGATTGTTGAGAAACTATCCAGCCGAAGAGCGTAAATGTTTATTGAGATATCCTAGCCTTTGGCACAAAACTAACTTTATGCAGGAGGGTTCAGCTTCCATAAAGTTCTTGGAAACGATAAGTGATTTTAACAAAAATTATCCCAATCACGAAATTTCCTATTACGCCTATCCAAGAATACTCGACTCTTTCTTTGATAAAGTTGAGAAATCTGATGACCAAAAGAAACATGCGCACCTAATAAATATCATTTTATGCTACATTTCAAAAGAACGGGAAGAAGTAGCGTTGCGTGAAAGATTGCTGAAGGATTTCATTAATAACAGTAAAAATTTCGTCACTGAAACTCTGTACGTGTGGGTATTGAAATATCGTCCTGAATGGATATGTGTGGAAGCCAGTAACATATTGTTGAAAACAAAGAAGTTACCGAAATTCTATTACGAGATTTCCAAGATGCACTATAACGGAGTATCTGATGTGTTCAAGGATGCTGCCATGAAGATTATAGACGATCCAAATAAAATTGAAATGGTTCCGAAATTGATATTGAGTTTATCATATTACCCAAATTACTTGGATTTGATTCAAAAGTACGCACCTGATTCAGATTGCAAAATTGATTTATATTCTTCCGGTATCAAAATCGTGCTGAGCATACAGAAAACTATATTGAAGTCGCTTAAAAATACGTTCAAACAATCCGAAAATATTCCAACAATCTTGCATTACTCGAACGGAGATTACTTGCAGTACACTTTGGAACCGATGTATAGAACACTTTATCATTCACCTCAGAATCTTTTGGAAGAAACGTTGAAAATGATTTCAGCTAGATCGGTTTCCGTTAGAAAACATTACATTTACTTAAGCACCGTTTTGCTTCCAATGTGCAAGATCGAGGAGTGCCTGAAAGAATGCGGTTCAAAGGAAAAGAACACTTCTGTAAAGAAATTCTTGTTCAAGTGTAATTATTCGTGTTTCGTCAATAATCCCACGTTGGAACTGTTCGAGTTATTCAAGACACATTTAGCACTAGTTGATAAAAAGGATACGGAGAGCACGGAAATGATTTTCCAAATAAATGGTATTGCGAAGAAGTACTTTGTTGAGTACGTTTTGCTGTTGTGGAACTACTCGAAATCATCGATGGAAAATGAAAAATTTAGAATTCCCAGTTATTTTACTAAAAATAATATCGTCTCATTTCCGGATGATTTCTTCTGCGAGATTATCGAAGAGTGTCTCTTTCATCCCAAAAATAATTGTTCTTATACAATACCCTCGTTCGTTTACAATTACATCACATGTAAACCGAATGCTGCGCAGATCGTAATCGAAAAGATAGGCAAGAGCATGGAAAATGTCGAAAAACATGTGAGTTTATCTCTATTTCAGGAAATTTGCGAGAAGTTACTGCAAGAGAAAGACAAAGAAAAAGCTGCTGTCTCTTCGAAAAAGGTTCTGGATGCGCTTATCAGTAGTTCATTCAGCAACTTCGAATTCGAAGTTTTATTAAAATTCACGAATCATTTGCTCCATAACGACTACAAAACGCTTCCTCTCTTCATCATTGAGCAACAGAAGAAGTACATGGATACATACGGTCCGGAGATTTGCGTGCATTACTCAAAAATCACGTTCAACGCTTTGCAGTTAATCCACAACTCGATGGAGGCAAACACAAACGATTTAAATTATGAGCTTATTAACCGTTTGCTGGAAGAATCGTCTTCAACGCACGTGAAGTTGTTGGTTGCTTTTATTTTACCGCCACCGCCGAAGAAAAACGTGTTGCACGCGAAACACCACGAGGCTATTAAAAAGCACTTGCTGAAAGATTCAAATCCGCTTTTAAAAATTTTCTTGGACTGTAACACATCGATGTTCTGTTAATTAATTTGTTATTATTTAGTATATATTTTTATAAATAGTTTATAAATAAAATATTTGGCACAAAAAGTACAGCTCTCCATTTTTTCTCACCTTACTAATATATCCAATATCTTTACAAATTGAAGTTTAGCAGCAATTCCAAACTGAATAATTCAACTTGAATGAACAATTCAACTTGCAACAGTTACATTCAGTAATTAATGAGAAATTAACACTAGATTTTTGCATTTATCAAGTATATGTTTTTTTTGGTGAGATTCGAACCCGTCACCTTCGTATAGGATGACTATTTTCATTGCGTTAGCTATCGTCCCAACCATAATTATGTAATGAATATATATTCCTAGATGGCGGTTTGTCAATATTCAATACCAGTTTTGTTGTTTGTGTTTTGCGTTGCGTAGAACTAGTATTCCTGCTCTACTCGTCAATATCATATTTTCCTGTTGCAATGTGTTATAAATATACATTTCAGCAGGAACATTAGATGTTTTCAGTGTACCACCACATATTTCTCGCAGCAATTGTGTATTAACAGTGGAATTCCTGCAACCGGTCAGTATTTACATTATTTAAGTTTATATTCTCTATATTCTATAAATATTCAATCATATGCTATACTTGTGCGTGTTTCTATATCATCCAAATGGATGAATCATGGAAGAATATTAAAGTTATGCAAATTCATCATTTTCAATTAGCGAAGTAATTAATAGTCTACAATAAATTATCGATAATATTAATTTCTTTATTGTTGTAGGCGAAATGCATAATAATTATATGGAACAGTTCCATAATTTGGGCGGAAAAACGTTGGGAGAGCATCAGCGTAATTTCCGTAAATATTGTGTAACCGTTTCAGGTTTACCGAAAGCTGAGATTGACACTCTGCTAGAGGCTATTAATCCGAAAAATCACCAGGAAGAGATATTCTACACGAAGTTATTGCTTCAGTTTCATAAGTACGAGAAAATTCTGCATGTTTTTACGAATTGCAACAAGGTTTTGAATCGGATCATCGTGAAGGATAGAAAGTTTATTGGATTTATTGCTTCGATTGGAGCGACTGCATTTGTCGATGAACTTTGTCCGAAGATATCGTACGTTGATAGAAGTATAGTAATTAATAAATTGGGTTTGTTTTTGGAGAACGGCGATGATTTCTTTGAGGCGGTTAAAGAGAAGTATGGATTGGCCGCTGCAATGAGATTACTTCCGACGTGCAATGAAGAACTTATCAAGCAGCATATTGCCGATTATAACATTGATTTTAGAGACCGCGAGCTGATCAGGTTGCATAAAAAGTATCCAAACTTTTTGAAGTATTACTTCGAAATAGATGAAAACAAGCAACTGAACCATAAAATTATGCTTGTCAATTATTTAGTTAATAACAATATGGATACGTTGATGACTCTTACTTCAGATTTTACATATCGTAGGTTAGGTAGAAAGGGATTCCTCAAGCTCTTGCGACACGACAAGAAGTTTGTTATTGAACATCCCAGCGATTTTAACAGATACAAAAGTTGTATTTATCGACATTTGAATGAAGCAGATTATAGGAAATACCTGAAGAATTTATTTCCAAAAAATATCGAGAAGCTGTATTGGCTGAGTGAAATTTTGAACAGCTTCAAATTTTTACCAATCGATAAACGGTGCCAACTATTCTGCGATATTTACAAGGAGCTTTATGACGTCGAATACACGACTTTCAATTTCAATTTGATGGAGATTATCAGAGCCGAGGATCGTCTGAAGTTTGATTTAAAAGAAAATTGGGAGTTTTATCCGGTGAAGGAGGCTTTCGAGCAGATCAAGTATAGGATCGATTTGTCGCACGAAATCAATGCGAGGAACACATTGTTGGAGTCGTTGGTTAGAGCGTGCAAAATTAATAAAGATAAAGATGCTCTATTGGAAGTCTTGAAATACTTTTGCTCCAAACATAAAAACGACTCTATCGAAGTTAGGAAAGATTTTTTAAAGAAATTTGATCAGCAACAATGATTTGCTCAAACTAAGCGAAGAGCATTGGAAGTATATAAATGAGATAATATTGATTTTTGAAGTAAATGGAGACTCTTATTTCGATAATACGACTTTCTTAAAGTCTCAGATACTTATGAAGGAGCAGAAGTGTGAAAATTGCGATGAAGAATTGGTTAAGTTGTTGAAGCATATAGGCTTGAATGGGGATTGGAGATTGCTGAGAAACTATCCAGTCGAAGAGCGTAAATGTTTATTGAGATATCCTAGCCTTTGGCATAAGACGAACTTTATGCAGGACGATTCAGCTTCCGTAAAGTTTTTGGAAACGATAATTGACTTTAACAAAAACTATCCAAATCACAAAATTTCCTATTACGATTTTCCAAAAATACTCAAGCTTTTCTTCGACAAAGTTGAGAAATCTGATGACAAGAAGAAACACACGCATCTCATAAACATAATTTTGTTCTTCATCCCCAAAGAACGTGAAGAAGTAGAGTTGCGTGAACGATTGCTGAAGGATTTCATTAGCAACAGTAAAAAATTTTATAACTGAAACTCTGTACGTGTGGGTATTGAAATATCGTCCTGAATGGATATGTGTGGAAGCCAGTAACATATTGATGAAAACAAAGAAGTTACCGAAGTTTTATTACGAGATTTCCAAGATGCACTATATTGGAGTATCGGAAACCTTTAAGGATGCTGCCATGAAGATTATAGATGATCCAAATAAAATTGAAATGGTTCCGAATATGCTATTGAGTTTATCATATTACCCAAATTACTTGGATTTCATTCAAAAGTACGCACCTGATTCAGATTGCAAAATTGATTTATATTCCTCCGATATCAAAATCAGAAATTGAGCATACAGAAAACCATACTGAAGTCGCTGAAAAATACGTTCAAACAATCTGATAATATTAGAACAATCTTGCATTATTCGAACGGAGATTACTTGCAGTACACTTTGGAACCGATGTATAGAACACTTTATCATTCACCTCAGAATCTTTTGGAAGAAACGCTGAAAATTATTTCAACTAGATCGGTTTCCGTTAGAAAACATTACATTTACTTAAGCACCGTTTTGCTCCCAATGTGCAAGATCGAGGAGTGCCTGAAAGAATGCGGTTCATAGGAAAAGAACACTTCTGTAAAAAAATTCTTGTTCAATTGTAATTATTCGTGTTTCGTCAATAATCCCACGTTGGAGCTGTTCGAGTTATTCAAGACACATTTAGCACTCGTCGATAAAAAGGACACGGAGAGCTCGACAATGATTTTTCAAAAAAATGATATTCCGAAGAAGTACTTTGTCAAATACATTTTGCTGTTATGGAACTATTCGAAAACCTTAACGGAAAATGAAAAAACGAAAATTCCCCATTATTTTACCAAAGACAATATCATCTTATTTTCGGATGATTTCTGTAGCGAGATTATCGAAGAGGGTCTATTTAATCCCAACGTTAATTGGTCTTGTGTAATGCCCTCATTCGTTTACAATTACATCATAAGCAAACCAAATGCTGCGAAGATCGTAATAGAAAAGATCGCCAGGAGTATAGATAATGTCGATAAATATGTGAGTCGATATCTATTTCAAGAAATTGTGAAGAAGTTGTTGAATGAGAAAGACAAAAAAAAAGCTGCTGCCTCGTCCGAAATGGTTCTGGATGCGCTTAAAAGCAGCTCCTTGAACAACTTTGAATTCGAAGTTCTACTAAAATTAACGAGTCACTACCTCCAAAATGACTACAAAACGCTACCTCACTTCATCGTTGAGCAACAGAAGAAAGTCATAGATACATATGGTCCGGAGATTTGCGTTTACTACTCACAAATCATCTTCAAAGTTTTGCACTCAATTCACAACTTGATGGAGGCCAATATACACGATTTAAATTATGAGCTTATGAACCGTTTGCTGGAAGAATCGTCTTCAACTTACGTAAAGTTGTTGGTCTCCATGATGTTACCGCCACCTCCGAAGAAAGATGTGTTACACAAGAAACACCACGAGGCTATTAAAAAGAAACTGCTGAAAGATTCAAATCCACTTGTAAAAATTTTCTTGGACTTGGACTGTTAATGAATTTATTATTATTCAATATATATTTTTATAAATAAAATATTTGACACAAAAATTAAATTATTTTCAATAAAAAAAAATCTCACTTTACTAATATATCCAATATCTTTTCAAATTGAAGTTTAGCAACAATTCCAAACTGAATTTGTTATATAAGTTTGTAGGGAATAATTCAACTTGAATGAACATTTCAACTTGCACAAGTTCATCAGCAATTAATGAGAAATTAACAATAGACTTTTGAATGTGTTTATGTGTTTTTTTTTGGGTTTGGATAACTATTCTCATTGCGTTAGGTGTCGCCCCAACCATAATTATGTAGCGAAAATATTTTCCTAGATGGCGGTTTGTCAATATTCAATACCATTTTTATTTATTTGTGTTTTGGGTTGCGTAGAACTAGTATTCCTGCTGTGCTCGTCAATATCAGATGTTCCTGCTGCAATGTATATAAACTAGTGTCTACAGTGTACCAACAAATACTTCTCGCAACAATTGTCTATTAACAGTGGAATTCCTGTAACCGGTCAGTATTTACATTATTTAAGTTCATACTCTCTGTATTCTATAAATATTCATTAATATGCTATACTTGTGCGAGTTTATATATAATTCAAGTGGATGACTCATGGAACAATACTAAAGTTGTGCAATACTTCGAAATTGATAATTTACAATTAGCGAAGTAATTAATAGTCTACAATAAAATGTCGATAATATTTATTTCTTTCTTGTTGTAGGCAAAATGCATAATAATTATATGGAACAGTTCCATAATTTAGGCGGGAAAACGTTGGGAGAGCATCAGCGTAATTTCCGTAAATATTGTGTAACCGTTTCCGGTTTACCGAAAGCTGAGATTGACGCTTTGCTAGAGGCTATTAATCCGAAGAATCACCAGGAAGAGATATTCTACACGAAGCTATTGCTTCAGTTTCATAAGTACGAGAAAATTCTGCATGTTTTTACGAATTGCAACAAGATTTTGAATCGGATCATCGTGAAGGATAGAAAGTTTATTGGATTTATTGCTTCGATTGGAGCGACTGCATTTGTCGATGAACTTTGTCCGAAGATATCGTACGTTGATAGAAGTATAGTAATTAATAAATTGGGTTTGTTTTTGGAGAACGGCGATGATTTCTTTGATGCGGTTAAAGAGAGGTATGGATTGGCCGCTGCAATCAGATTACTTCCGACGTGCAAAGAAGAACTTATCAAGCAGCATATTTCCGATTATAACATTGATTTCAGCGACCGCGAGCTGATCAGGTTGCATAAGAAGTATCCGAACTTTTTGAAGTATTATTTCGAAGTAGATGAAAACAAGCAACTAAACCCTAAAGTTATGCTTGTGAAGTATTTAGTTAATAACAATATGGATACATGGATGACTCTTACTTCAGATTTTGAATACCATAGTTTAGGTAGAAAGGGATTCCTCAAGCTCTTGCGACACGACAAGAAGTTTGTTATTGAACATCCCAACAATTTTAGAAAGCACATAAGTTGTATTTATCGACATTTGAATGAAGCAGATTATAAGGAATACCTGAAGAATTTATTTCCAAAAGATATCGAGGAGCTGTATTGGCTGAGTGAAATTTTGGACAGCTTCAAATTGTTACCAATCGATAAACGGTGCCAACTATTCTGCGATATTTACAAGGAGCTTTACGACGTCGAATACACGACTTTCGATTCCAGTTTGATGGAGATTATCAGTGCCGAGGATCGTCTGAAGTTTGATTTAAAAGAAAATTGGGAGTTTTATCCGGTGCAGGAGGCTTTCGAGCAGATAAAATATAGGATTGATTTGTCGCACGAAATCAATGCGAAAAATTCGTTGCTGTACACGTTAGTTAGAACGTGTAAAATTAATAAAGATGACGATGCTCTGCTGGAAGTTTTGAAATACTTCTGCTCCAAGCACAAAAACGACTCTATCGAAGTTAGGAAAGATTTTTTAAGAAATTTGACCAGTAACAATGATTTGCTCAAACTAAGCGAAGAACATTGGAAGTATATAAATGAGATATTATTGATTTTTGATGTAAATGGGAGCTCGTATTTCGATAATGCGACTTTCTTAAAGTCGCAGATACTTATCAAGGCGAAGAATGGTGAAAACTGTGATGAGGAATTGGTGAAGTTGTTGAAGGACATTGGCGTGAATGGACATTGGAGATTGCTGAGAAACTATCCAGTCGAAGAGCGAAAATGTTTATTGAGATATCCTAGACTTTGGCACAATACGAACTTTGAGCAGGATGATTCAGCTTCTGTAAAGTTTTTGGAAACGATAATAGAATTTAACAAAAACTATCCAAATCATAAAATTTCCTATTACGCTTTTCCAAAAATACTCAACATTTTCTTCGACAAAGTTGAGAAATCTAATGACAAGAAGAAACACACGCATCTTATAAATATAATTTTGTTCTTCATCCCCAAAGAACGTGAAGAAGTAGAGTTGCGTGAACGATTGCTGAAGGATTTCATTAGCAACAGTAAAAATTTCATAACCGAAACTCTGTACGTGTGGGTATTGAAATATCGTCCTGAATGGATATGTGTGGAAGCCCTTAACATATTAACGAAAGCAAAGAAGTTACCGAAATTCTATTACGAGATTTCCAAGATGCACTATAACGGAGTATCTGATGCCTTCAAGGATGCTGCCATGAAGATTATAGACGATCCAAATAAAATTGAAATGGTTCCGAAATTGATATTGAGTTTATCATATTACCCTAATTACTTGGATTTGATTCAAAAGTACGCACCTGATTCAGATTGTAAAATTGATTTATATTCCTCCGATATCAAAATCATGTTGAGCATACAGAAAACCATACTGAAGTCACTGAAAAATACGTTCAAACAATCCGAAAATATTCCAACAATCTTGCATTATTCGAACGGAGATTACTTGCAGTACACTTTGGAACCGATGTATAGAACACTTTATCATTCACCCCAGAATCTTTTGGAAGAAACGCTGAAAATTATTTCAACTAGATCGGTTTCCGTTAGAAAACATTACATTTACTTAAGCACAGTTTTGCTCCCAATGTGCAAGATCGAGGAGTGCCTGAAAGAATGCGGTTCAAAGGAAAAGAACACTTCTGTAAAGAAATTCTTGTTCAAGTGTAATTATTCGTGTTTCGTCAATAATCCCACGTTGGAGCTGTTCGAGTTATTCAAGACTCATTTGGCACACGTCGATAAAAAGGACGAGGAGAGCACGAAAATGATTTATAAAAAAAATGATATTCCGAAGAAGTACTTTGTCGAGTACGTTTCGTTGATGTGGAACTACTCGAAAACTTTAACGGATAATGAAAAAATGAAAATTCCCCATTATTTTACCAAAGACAATATCGTCTTGTTTTCGGATGATTTCTGTAGCGAGATTATCGAAGAGGGTCTACTTAATCCCAACCTTGATTGGTCTTATGTAATGCCCTCGTTCGTTTACAAATACATCATAAGTAAACCAAATGCTGCTCAGATCGTAATAGAAAAGTTTGCCAGGAGCATAGATAATGTCGATAAATCTGTGAGTCATTCTATATTTCAACAAATTTTAGAGGATTTGTTGAGTGAGAAAGACAAAGAAAAAGCTGCTGTCTCTTCCCAAAAGTTTCTGGATGCGTTTAAAAGCAGCTCCTTGAACAACTTTGAATTCGAAGTTCTACTAAAATTAACGACTCACTACCTCCAAAATGATTACAAAACGCTACCTCACTTCATCGTTGAGCAACAGAAGAAAATCATAGATACATATGGTCCGGAGATTTGTATTTACTACTCACAAATCACCCATAACGTTTTTAACTCAATTCACAACTTGATGGAGGCCAATATAGACGATTTAAATTATGACCTTATGAATCGTTTGCTGGAAGAATCGTCTTCAACGCACGTAAAGTTGCTGGTCTCCATGATGTTACCACCACCCAGTAAAAATGTGTTACACAAGAAACACCACGAGGCTATTAAAAAGGAACTACTAAAAGATTCAAATCCACTTGTAAAAATTTTCTTGGACTATAGGACATCGAGGTTCCGTTAATGAACTTGTTATTATTTAATATATATATTTTTATAAATAGATTATAAATAAAATATTTGGCACAAAAATTAAATTATTTTTACCGAAAAAAAAAATACGTCTCTTCATTTTATCTCTCCTTACGTCTAATATATTTTCAAATTGATATTGCTCAATAAAATTATAGTGAAGAAGCTTTCACAGGCTTCCAAACTGAATCTTGCAACTTGCAACAAATTACATGAGAAAAAATAATGTGGAATAAAAATGTCTGCAATATATTTTTGCTATTTATTTTCAAAATATTATATTAATTAAATAAAAGTTGTTAGCACTAGATTTATTCAATGCAATGATTATTATAGAATAACCATACTTATTGCGTAAGGAACCGCTCCAATCATAATTTTGTAATAAACATATATTCCTAGATGGCAGTTTGTCCATCCATATACATTACCATTTTCAGGTATTTGTATTTTGGGTTGCATTAAACTATAATGTACATTCATTCCTGCTGAACTCGGCGACATCAGATGTTCCTGCTGCGGTTTATATGAACTATAGTGTGCCAATAAATTCTCCTCCCAACAATTGAGTGATAACAGCGGAAATCCTGCAACCGGTCAGTATTCAGATTATTTAAACTATATTCTCTATATTCCATAATTATTGAATCGAATTCTATATACTATATCGATTGCGCGTTTTTTTATTTTATTTGTGGTGATGATTTCTGGAAAAATATTAATAAAAAAAAAGGTATGTTCTAAAGTTGTGCAATAAATTGAAATTATTCATTTTCTGGCCAAGAGTTGTGTTTTAGGAATCTAATTAGTAGTTTGCAACAATTATCGATTATATTCATTTCATTTTTTCTCTTTTTTGTAGGCGAAATGCATTATAATTATATGGAAGAGTTCCATAATTTGGACGGAAAAATGTTGAAAAAGCGTAATTTCCGTATATATTGTTTAAACGTTTCCGCAAACTGAGATTGACGGTCTACTAGAGGCTATTAATCCGAAGAATCATCAAGAAGAGATATTCTACACGAAGCTATTGCTTCAGGTTCAAAAGAACGAGAAGGTACTGCAATGTTTTACATGTTGTAACAAGATTTTGAATCGCATCATCTTGAAGGATATAAAGTTTATTGGATTTATAGCTGCGATTGGGTCTGTGGATGAGCTTTGTCCGAAGATATCGTACGTTGATAGAAGTATAGTTATTAATAAGTTGGGTTTGTTTTTGGAGAATGGCGATGACTTCTTTGATGCAGTTGAGCAGATGTATGGCCGCAGCAATCACGCTACATCCGACGTGCAAAGAAGAACTTATCAAACAGCAAATTGCATAAGAAGTATCCGAAGTTTTTGAAATATTACTTCCATGTATATGAAAACAAACAGGCGAGCTCAAAAATCATGTTTGTCAAGTATCTGGTTCATAACAATATTGATACGTTGTTGGCTTTTACTTCAAATTTTGCATATCGTACTTTTGGTAGAAAGGGCTTCCTTCAAGCTTTTGCGATACCACAAGAAGAACACATCCCAGTGATTTTGACAAACACATTACATGACTTTCGATCCCAACTTGATGGAGATTATCAGCGCTGAGGATTGCCTGAAATTTGATTTAGAAGAACATTTCAAAGAACATTTTGAGCAGATCAAGTATTGGATTGATTTGTCGCACGAAATCAATGAAAGAAGTTCGTTGTTGAACACGTTAGTTAGAACGTGTAAAATTAATAAATATACTTCTTGAAATACTTCTGCTCCAGGCACAAGAATGACATGATCGACGTTAGAAATAACTTTTTAAGAAGTTTGACCAGCAACATCAAATTGCTTAAATTGTAAGTACATAAACGAGATCTTATTGTTTTTTTTAAGTAAGCGAAAACTTTGGCTCAAAACTAACTTGGTGCAGGATGATTCAGTTTCCGTAAAGTTCTTGGAAACGATAAGCGAATTTAACAAAAACTATACCAATCAGAAAATTTCCTATTACGCTTTTTCGACGATACTCGATGCTTTCTTCGATATCGTCGATAAATCCGATGACCAGAAGAAATACGCGCATCTCATAAATATCAGTTTGTCCTTTATCCCAAAATAACGGGAAGGTGCTCATTCTCCCAATGAGCAAGATCGAGGAATGCCTAAAATAATGAGGCTCAAAGGAAGAGAATGCTTCCATAAAGAAAGTCCTGTTGAAATGCAATCATTCGTGTTTTGTCAACAATTCCACGTCGGAACTAGTCGAGTTGTCCCAGACTCATCGATAGAAAGGACACTGAAATCATGACAATGATTTTCCAAATAAATGGTATTCCGAAGAAGTACTTTGCCGAGTACATTTTGCTGCTGTGGAACTACTCGAAGACGTCGGCGGAAAATGAAAAATTCCAAATTACCATTTATTTATCCAAAGAGAGTATCGTTTCTTTTCCAGATGATTTCTGCAAAGAGGTCCTCGAAGAGTGTATCTTTAATCCCAAAAATAATTGCTCTTCCATAATGCCCCGTTCGTTCACACTTACATCATGTCAATCAAACCGAATGCTGCGCAGAATGTAATTGAAAAAAAATCAGCAGAAGCAAGTGGAAAGTCGCTAAACGTACGAGCTTTACTCTTCCGTTCTTCGAGCCGATTTGCGAGATGCTGTTGAACGAGGAAGACATAGAAAAAGCTGCTGCCTCGTCGAGGTTCTACTAAAATTTACCACTCACTTGCTCCATAACAACTATTCTACTCTTCATCATTGGGCAACAGAAGAAATTCATAGATGCATGCGGTCCGGAGATTTGCGTGCGTTTCTCAAAAATCACTCTCAAAGCGTTAGTGTTAATCCACAACTTGATGGAGACCAATACAAACGAATTAAATTATAAGCTCTTCAAATTTGCTTGTAGAATCGTCTTCAACGTACGTGAAGCTGTTGATTGCCGTTCTTTTACCGCCACCTCCGAGGATGAACATTTTGCTCTTGAAGGCTCTTGAAGATTTTCTTGGATTACAATACATCGATGTAGTTTATTTAATCAAATGATATTATTCATTATATATTATATCATAAGTATTTATAAACTAAAGTTATTGTATTGAAAGGGCTATTAACTGCAGTCTTTCCGCCAGTATATTAAGTATCTAGAAATAGAGTCAGAAAATTAAAATTGTTTTTACTGAAAACTCACGGCTTTATCTCCATACGTATTAAAACTAAATATCATACTCTCGAGATATATCATTTCATAAATTTTTTTCAGTTAATATAATCGTTTCACTATCATTACTGCTACGTTTGACATATATTTAATATTAGTGATAGTGTGGACGATTCATTACTAAATACAAACAACATGTGGATCCTACACTTTTCTTCTTTCTACTTGACCATACATATAAACAACAAGGAAATATTGTGCCTTGTGTTAAATATCTATTACTTGCGTCATTGCAGGGGTTTCTGCATAATCCCTTTATTATTATTTAATATCAAAGTGACCAAACTAATTTCAATCCTTAATTGGTTTAATAAGAAGTAATAGGAAAACCCACAATTTTATGTAGGTTATTAATAAAAATAAAAACAATTATCATAATTTATTGCTTACTAATTTTGTCATAGGATAAACATTTAAAAATATAACAACAAACAAACAAAAAGTCTTATAACCTCACATAACGTTGTTTACGTTATATGAGTTTAGACACTCAACAGAGTCAAAGCAAACATTTATCTAACCTAAGAAAACTTGACCTAACCTAACCTAACTAATGCCGATTTCTCTTTTCGTACTTTAATTAAAGTTTAATGTAAACTAATTAATTTAAGTCCATTTTATTAAAGAAAAAACTAATTTAAATAATTTAATATAAAATATTTTGTTTTCATTGGAATTGGGATTATATTTAATTATAATTTTTTCAATGCGGATTCAATAATTAACTATATTTGTTGACGATGATAAAAAATAAACATACATCTTTGAAAATTATCACACCGCACAAGGTCGAACGCATTGTTTTTGTTTGATTTTCTTAAGATACCGCAATCTCACTTTTAATCGATTGAATATTATCTCCGCTGAATTGCACCTGTTTAGAAAGGAGAACATTCCATGCACTTAATTTATCGCTTGTGAAACATAGAAAATTTCAACCTAATTGTATGTGTATTTGATTTTACGTTTCCAACACACTACAACTATATTCAATCTGTATTTCTAGTATCAAATCGATGATTGTGAGTACTCGACTGTAAGTAATGTTGCCATTTATGTCGCAATAAAAATAGTTTTTCTTTATTTTTTGATGATATTGCATTTCTAATATAGTTTTATTTTAAACGTGTTCTAAGTGGTATGTTAATATCTTGTTTTTCTGTTGTTGTTGCAGGAGGAATGTTGAACGAAGTTAAGGATTTCCACAAGTTGGGTGGATCCACGTTGGGAGAACATCAATGGAACTTCAGGAAGTTCATGGACCGGATATCCGGGCTTCCGAATCGCGTGGAAATTACGATGTCCATAAGACCGCGCAACCATCAAGAGGCAATCTTCAAGGTGAAACTGCTTCAGCGATTCAGGCAACAATGGGTTTTGTTGAATATTTTACTGGAGGGCAACAAAGTCCTCAATAGAATCATATTGAATAATCGTGAGTTCATCCACTACGCCGGGGAAATCGAAGTTTATACATTCGTCAATGTTGTTTGTCCGAAGCTTTCGCACGTCTCCAAACTGATTCTGTTCAATAAACTCGGATCGACGTTATTAAACGGCGATACACATTTCAATTTAATTTTCGAAAAGTACGGAATTCGTCTAGCTTTCAAACTGCTTCCATCGTGCAGCGAGGAACTGGTTATGGAGATTTCGGAGAATTACAGCTTCCGTTTCAACAGCAGACAGCTGATTGTATTGCATCGAAAGTATCCGAATTTCCTGATGAACTACTTCCAGTCCGGCTACGCCAATTTGGTGGTACGAAAGAAGCTGACCGATTATTTGGTTAAAAATGATATGGAAACATTACGAGATCTGGTGGAATTTGGTTTACCAACGTTGGGAAGGAAAGGAATGTTGAAGTTTTTGGATATAAATAAGGAATACGTTTTAGAGAATCCGGGGAAATTCCAAAGGCATTATGATAGGATCGTCAGGAGTTTGAATCACGACGAATTTGATATATACTTTAAAAACTTGTTTCCGAAGAGGATCGATGATAATCCAGATTTTTTCGATGCGATCAGAAATTTATCGCTGTTACCACCCAGAATTAGGTACAGAAAGTTCAACGGGGTTTACGCAGAACTGTATGGCCTCGATTTCTGTGAATTTGACAAGAATTTGGTGGAGTTGTTCACGTGGAGGGATAGGTCCAAATTCGAATTGGGCGATAATTTGGAATTGTACTTGATCAAAGATGCGCTGAGACTGATCGAAGCTACAATGAAGGTGACACACGATACAGAATCTAGGTGTAATTTGGTGCGTATGATGATCGAAACTTGCAGGATCAACAAGAAACTGGACAGATTGTTGGATGTTTTAAATTACTTCTGCGATGTGCACAAGAATGATTCGGTAGAGGTTAGAAGGACGATCATTTCGCAACTTTTGTGCAATTTCAATTTGAAAAAATTTTGCGATGAATCCTGGTATTGCATTGAAGAAATGTTTCATACGTTCAAAAAGAGAAACGAGATGTGCTTTGATAAAGGAGATTTCACCAAAGCCTTGATCATGAAGAAGATATCGCTGAACGAGGATTACCGTAACGATCTGTTGGAATTCATGGACGACATCGTCAGATACAACTACTTGAACATTTTGGATAGAAATCAGCCGAAGCAGCACCGCATCTTTTTGCTGAAGTTTGCGATGAACATCGAGTATTTTGGCGATTTAACGAGCAGAGATTCCTCAGTGTATTTCATCGATTTACTGTGCGAATTTAATAAGAACAATCCGAAATATAAAATATCTTACTACAGGTTTCCTTCTATGGTGAGGGACGTCTTCGAAGAGTTTTATAAAGAGGAGTACGATTGCAAATCCAAGATTGATACCATTCTGCGGTTCATTCCCACAGAACCAATCGAGATTGATTTACGAGATGAGCTTTTGCAGAAGTTTATGGAGAGCGATAAAAGTGAAATATCTCTTCAGTTGGCCATGTGGATGTTGAAATATCGTCAGTGCATGTTAAAAAAGTATATTAAGAAGTTTATATGGAAAGGAGCGTCATTTTCGCGACTCTATTACGAGATTTCCAAGATGCGTTATACGAAATTGCCAAAACTATATCGCTCGACGTGCACTGAAAATTTGCGATCCATGCGGAAAACAAACGGCCTATGGTATTTATCATACGAAGCGGACTATTTGAAATTGGTGGAGAGATTCATTCCGGAAGGTTTTAACGAAAACGTAATGGAATTTCAAAAAAACCTCTTGAAAACTTTTAAGAATAGATACATGGAATGGCCGCATTTATCAATTATATTGAATTATCTGAATGGTGATTATTCGAAGTACGCGGTTGGGTCGATGTACAGGAGTTTCTACAATCTGCCAGAATATGAGTTGGTCCATCATTTGAAAGTCATCAGCGAAATATCGGATTCCTTAAAAAAGCACAGCATTTACCTTAGCTCTGAACTACTTGACTATAGATACATTAAATTAATTCTAATGGAAACCGCAAGTACGGATAACATCAAATGCGCTATGTTCGTAAGCACTTTTTACAGTTTCTGCAATAATCCCAAAACGAATCTGCTCATTTTATTGAAACAGCAAATGGACATTATGCAAGAACATCGCATTATTTTCAAATTCAAGATTATACCGAAACACGTATTAATCGATTACCTTACGGAATTCAGGGATTATTTGAGATGCGGGTCCGAAGATGATTTAACAGCCTTCAATATTTTAAAACCAGATTTAATTTCACAGCTTCCCGCCGACTTTTGCGAGGAGATTCTAGCACTTGTACTATTCTCCAAAGATTGCTACCAATTCGTGTATAATTATATCGTTTCATCGCACGAGGATTCTGTAGGAAAGCTGCATGAAGCAATTGAAAATTCTCAGGTCGAGAATAAACTGTTTCTGGTGACCGATTTGTACGATTATATTTTCAGAAAGTTTATTCGCGAGAGAAGTAGAGATTTGGCTCAAAGCAGATCCGCTGATTTTATGCCGTATTTGGAACAAAGATTCGGCAACAATTTAGAAATTGATTTGATGGTGAAGAGCGTTTGCAGTTATTTGGAATCCGGTTTTGATGGTTTGGCTAGGTGCTATGTCGTTCAGCAGGGTGAGATTGTACAAGAATTTGGTCCTAGTATAATAATATATCATTCGAAAGTTGCAAATAAATGTTTGCATAGGATTTTGGATAATGTGGATGGGGATAGAGATGAGAATACTTGTGTCTTTATTGATACATTGCTGAACGAATCAAATTTAACTCACATCAAATTATTGGCGATCGAACTGCTACCATTGCTCAAGTCGAAAAATCAAAGATTGATATTGTTCATGTTACAATTACTCGAGAAGATCGAGGAAGACCCCAGTGAGACTATACAAACGTTCCTGTATTATAAGCATGCATGCAAAGACTTATAAACATGTTTATTTTGTGATAATAAAAATTGTATTGTTTTTAAGTTACTGTATTTTAAGTATTTTCGTTAATGACTTGTAAAGATTTTTTATGACAATAAAAATCAATAATATTTCTTAATGATTTTGTGTAATTTATTTCAAATTTCAATTCATCTGAATAATATTTTTTAATTAACATTTCTTGTAATTGATTTAGAACCAAGTTTCATTTAAAGTAAAATATGCTTAAGATTTAATTAGTTACGTTAGCATTTTAACAACTCATCAAAGTTTTCAATGATAAATTATAGCAATTTTATGACTTAAATACAAAACTAACATTAATGTTAAAACTTATTCTGTTAAATCATCTCCAATTTTATATTTGGATATTAAGAAGTATTAGGTTTTGAAAATGTTAGTAATTAAGTAATTCTATATAATTTTTTTTTTGGGTTGTCAAATTTGTTTGTCAGTTTTTACAATATTTGTTGTCAAATTGTTGTCTTATGTCATTTTTTGTATTTGATGGTATGTTTTTGTTTTTCAAAATCTTGATTATCAAGTTGTTTTTGTATTATTAGTAGTTAATTATTGAATTATGATAATTTTTTAATAAGTAAAAATATCACTGATTAAAAAGTTAACATTATTGTCTTTTGTTGACAATTACTGTTATTTTACGTTTTAAAGTTAAAATCAGCAGAAGCTATTTTTAGAATGTAATCAAAACCGATACAGTTAATCCAAGTGAAGTGTTTAAAGTCAATGCGGATTAATCTAAAGGATTGAAACAACTGTAGAAAAGGCAACTATAATATTATGAATAATTGTAATGAAAGTATCAATAATTTTTTGATTGGTCATCAATGCAATAATGAAACCGCTTATAGATAGATGAATTAACTAGTTTTATGTTTAACATATTGCGTATTGATTGAGATTAAGTATATAATAAAATCTTTCAAGGCACTCGTGGATAATAAATAAGATAATGCGGATTATTTATAATTGTGATATAGACAATTGAAAATCCCACGTACGTCGTGATTAATATGATTAAACAGTTTTTAGAATTCAAAATATTGTTTTTTGAGTAAATCTGTTTTGATTATTTTAATTTAATATTTGTCTGGTTTTATTGCGCGTAATGTTTTTCACGAATGCCGTGGAGTTACTCAGCATAAATTATAAAGGAAACTTGTTATCAAAAGTAAAGTAATGAGTAATTTCTGTTTGAACAATATTTGAGTAGTAAACGTTGTATTCAGGTAGCAAGTTTCAGTAGAATTGAATCATCAAATTAGGAAAATTGGTGACCATATTTGACCCATATATCAAGTTTATTAATAACTCAAAAATTAATGAAAATTTTGATTAAATTTAAAGTTTGTTCATAAATTTAAGATTATTCTGCATTTCAGACTTCGTCTCTCCGAAAATATGGTATACATTTGAAAGAAAATCTTAGATTATCTAGAGTTTCGAAAGCAACTGGCAATACTCATTATATTGGTATGGTTTACATTGATAACTAAATAACAAAACATATTTGACAGTCGTTGAGTTAAGTTGAAATTTGAAGACCAAAAAATAGTTTTTTGAGATAAATATAATAGTCACCGCTGTAATTTCAAAATGGAAAATTTTAACCGAAATAACGTGAATTTATAAAGAAGAGATGCCAAATCAACCACCGATTTAAACGTCAAACACAATTGATGAATTGATTCAAGATGCATTTAGTAAATTAGAGAAAATAACGTTTTTATAACATTACAAACGTATATGGAATCAATTATGTTAACAGGATGAGGAAATTCAAATAAATTTCCTCATATAAATAAGTTAAAACTTCGTCGGGAGAGTATTTGTTCAAAAGTAGCGTTCAACAAGGCTAAATTTGGATTACACTAAAATTATTTGTATTTATTTATATTGTGATAATAAAATGAATTTAATAATTTTTGTATTTAATTTTTATTTTTTTTGGAGTAATAAAATTATAAACCTTAAAAAATAAATAATTCTATATAAATAAACAAAACTAAAATAAATTATAACTTATAAAAAGTAAATAAAGAAATATTTGGGCTATCGACCTTCGATTTTCCACATTTGTCGTTTAATTTATTTTTTTATTAACTTTCAGTGCACTTTTATAGAATTATTCAATTGTGGGTATTGAATTAAGTGTTCACATATTTTATTTTACATGTTCCATATATTTTCATATCAGTTTAAGTAAATAAATACAACCGTGTTAATTAATGTCTGTATACGTTGCGTGATTTTTTTGAAATTTTATTTAAACGCCTTGTTTTATCTAGCAATTATAATTTTAAGTAATTATAAAGTTGCAACACACTTCACAATTACTATTTACGTTAATTTTTTTAAAAGTGAAATCGTGCTTTCGTGCTTAAATATGCTTCATTACAGTAGCATGTGTTTGCAACTATTCGAGTGTTTCATTAATCGTTGTTCCAATAAAAACACAAACTATATGTTTTAATTTGCTGATTTGAACATATGCAATAGTTTACAGGTATGCACTTGAATAAATTGAAAAAATCAGATTGAAATCTGCTTATCAATCCGATCTAGAAGTTTAATTGTTTTGTGATTATTGCGATTTCTAATAGTGATTTTGATAAAATTATTTAAAAAATATGTTTATCTCTAACATTATCATAAATGGCGTTAGTTTTAATACCGCTGCATATTGCAGTTGCTTGCTGCGCTCGCTACAACATGAATGTAACCGCGTTGTTCGACGTACTTCTTCAGCTATCCGCGATTTGCAATACCTTCGATGGGATAGAGAGCGAAGCATGTCGGAAGCAGTACAAATCGCTTTGCACCGAAAGTCCGATGACTCTTATGAAAAGTACGCATTTTTAAAAGCATCAACGAAGCTATTGGTAATTAATTAAAATAATTGCAGTGGTGGATTCCGGGTATCGACTACCCACTGGGATTATGAGTGGAAACATTTTGGATTTCGGGAATTTCGATCAGTGCATGTCGTTGCATGAGGAAGAACCTGTACATGTCTATGGAAAATACTGCCTTTCTAAGGTAAGCTACCCACCGTTAACAGTGCTGACCGCATTGTGCATTCCGGATCAATGCACGATTCCAGATCTGAACGACGTGCTGAATGACACCGGGGTGTCATTAACTTCAATCAGTTGTCAGGATAGTGGTATAAAGGAGGAGTGGACGACCGGAGATTGGGTTATGATGTGAGGGTGTACAAATTGATTAAATCTCTCTCTGTAATTGTTGTTATTTTCAGTGGATTCTTCTGTTTCGTTGCGTTGGTGATTGTTGCCAGCACGATTTACGATATCGTGATTTACAACTTTGATAGATGTAAGTTTTTTGTTTGTTTCTGTTTGACGTTATTTTGACGTAATGCAAAAGATATTTTAAAGCGATATATTTTATATTTATTATACGATGCAAAGATTGCTGAAGATTGGGGCTCGGGTTTCTGTGGGGAGACGGATGTGGCACAAGTGGTATCCGGATTCCGAATACTTTAAGCAGTTCGATGGGCCCGTGATGTTTGTGACTGAGGAGACGAAGGATTGGAAGTACTATAGTACGGGAAAGTGTCCAGTTTTGGAGAAGAAGTTCATCAATAGCGTAATCAACTTTGGGCCTGCCCATCCGGCGGCCCATGGTGTATTGAGGATGGTCATGGAGTTGGAGGGTGAGATTGTTAAGAGGTTGGATCCTCACATCGGGCTGCTGCACAGAGGAACGGAGAAGCTGATCGAGTACAAGACTTATCTGCAAGCTATGCCGTATTTCGATAGATTGGATTATGTGTCGTGCATGGCCAACGAGCACGCCTTTTGCTTGGCCACAGAGAAGCTCCTGAACATCGACGTGCCGAGAAGAGCCAAGTTCATAAGGGTTCTGTACTTGGAGATCACCAGACTGTTGAACCATGCGCTCGGGTTAACCACTCATATACTGGACGTGGGCGGTATAACGCCTTTGTTTTGGCAGTTCGAGGAGCGCGAGAAGATGTTCGAGCTATACGAGAGGGCGTCGGGTGGAAGGATGCACGCTTCTTATATTAGACCGGGTGGCGTGCACCAGGATCTGCCTATAGGTTTGATGGACGATATCTATGATTTCTCGAGAAAGTACGCCGAGAGGTTGGACGAGCTTGAGGATCTGATCACGAACAATAGGCTTTGGGTCCATCGCACCAAAGGCATTGGAGTGGTGAGCGCCGAGGATGCTCTGAACTATGGGTTTTCCGGTGTTATGCTTCGCGGATCCGGCATAAAGTGGGACATCCGCAAGATGAAGCCGTACGAGGTGTACGACGAGATGGAGTTCGATGTTCCGGTCGGAGCTAACGGAGATTGCCTGGACAGGTACAAGTGTCGGATGAATGAGATGCGGCAGTCCTTGAGGATCATCGATCAATGCTTGAATCAAATGCCGGAAGGCGAGGTGCATTGTGACGACAATAAAGTCTCACCACCAAGTCGTGGGGAGATGAAGAAATCCATGGAGGCCATCATTCATCATTTCAAGCTCTTCTCGCAAGGATTCGCTGTACCTCCAGGCTCCACATACACCTGCGTGGAGCATCCCAAAGGCGAATTCGGCGTGTATTTGGTGTCCGATGGATCGTCTCGACCGTACAGATGCAAGATTAAGGCTCCCGGTTTCGCACATTTAGCAGGAATTGATCATATTTCCAGAAATCTATTCCTTGCAGATGTCGTCGCCATAATGGGAACATTAGATATTGTCTTTGGAGAAGTCGATAGATAGATAAATAAATGCATTTAAGAATATAACTTTTTTGGATTACGTCAATTTTGACACTCGAATGACATTGAAAATTTGTCATGATATTCAGGAGTTTGATTAAGTCCAATTTTATCTTATTTTTAAGTCATATCAACCGCAGAGAGTAAACTGCATTAGATTTTACTAAATTTGGTCAGAGTTTCAAACATATTATGTGATTTTTTCTTTACAAATCTCTACGATGTGACAGTTTCAAGTACGAAACGAAAAAATATTTATTATTCAAGATTTTCAATTCAATGAAAATCTGGATAAATAAATATTGTATATTAAGATGTTTTCTTATTTAGAGACCTAAAATATCTATAAAATTTGCTTTTCGCACATTTTTTTAGATGAGATTTGGAAGCAAGAAAACATCACAATTTCCGTAAATATTCTTTTTAAAATTGATTTAATCTTCAAATTTGATTTAATGACGATGTTTAGTATCGTTTTGTTATAAGATTATCATTACGGTTACAGTATTATTTGCATTTTATGATTATTTCATTGTATATTTGCCATTTTAATAGTATTTATTTAGATTATCCGTAAGTGAAGAATAATTGTTACAATGTATTTTTTTTGGTTTCAGATCCATATCACGACAGTTTAATTGTGTTTTCGATGTTTACGAACTTTAATAAATTAACAAAAATCACAAAGAATCCTGAACATATGCACTGTTTGGATGGTATAAGGGCGATCAGCATGGCATGGGTCATAGCAGGTCACAGGTACGCGAGTTTTGGTTCACCTTTGGTTCCAATACATAATCGCGTGGATGCAGAAGAAGTAAATTTTTCTCCCAACACTATTATGTAATATGTTTAATCAATTATTTTTTTGCTTGTTATTTTTAGTGGCTCAACAGCACACAGTCTTTCTACATACAAGGAGCTCGGGTGTCCGTGGACACCTTCTTTTTCCTATCCGCATTCCTCGTATCCTACTTGTTCTTCAAAGGCCTCAAGAAGAATCCGCTCACCATCAAAAAAGTTCCATTGTTCTATTTGCATCGTCTCTTAAGGTACCTCGTAACTGAATGCATCCTCAGAACAATAACGTCCTCCTCAATCCCATAGAATCTTTCCGGCGATGGCCGTCGTCTACTTCGTCCATCTGACAATCTTCAAGCACTTCAATTCCGGTCCGCTTTGGCCAGAGATGTTCGATTTCCTGCAGAAATCCTGCGTGAAGCATTGGTGGAGTTTTTTCCTTTACGTTCAGAATTACGTGAACTTCGAGGATATGGTTGCCATTATAAAATTAAATTGAAAACCATTTGCACTTACTCATCGTTTTGTTTTGCTTTCAGTGCATCATCCCGACTTGGTACCTTTCCGCAGATATGCAAATGTTCTTAATTTCGCCATTCATCCTCATCCCCTTGGGTTATTTATACGAAAAGAAGGGAAAATGGTTTACTTACATCTGCCTCGCGGTTCTCGTTGTCTTCACTATTGTCGTTCCACTTCTCGCCAACATATACCGCGATAATATTAAGTTCAAGTAAATCAATCAATTTACTATAATTCAACTTTAATATGTTAACGATTCATTTGTTTGCAGTGAATACGAAACGCACGCAAGAATCTCCGTCTACATGATTGGCATCTGCTTCGGATTTTATTTGTTCGATACTGATAAGAAGAAACTCAAAATTGACACGGTAATTAGGTAGTTGTAACGTACGTGTGCTACTCGAGTGCTCTAGAGTACCTTTGGACCAGACGTGCGTGACAGCTTTCCTGGAAGATCTATAATAACTTGTGACGATCATTAAGTTTACATAATCACGCAAACTTTCCAATTATTATGACATATTTTTTTTTTGTTTTTATTTATATAGTCCACTAATGTTTTCATTTGGGCTTTGATGCTTTTCTTAATGACTCTAATCATTGTCGAATACCCAAGCATTTACTCCGTGCCCATTGACATCTTCAATTTCGACCTCTTCGTTTCGTTCACTAGGCCCATCTGGTGTTTTGGTTTATGTTGGATAATTCACTCTTGCATCACTGGATCTGGAGGTTATAACTTAAACGCTCATTGCAACATTAGCAAACTTAACAAATTTACATTTCAGGGTTTGTGAATTGGATTCTTTCTAAACCACTTTGGCAAATTTTGGCTAGACTCTCGTACAGCATGTACTTACTTCATATGACCGTACAGATGATATCATCGGGAGCCATACAGAATGCCACTCATTTCAGCGATTACAACACGGTATGTAGACTAAATGTACTTTGAAAGTCTCGGTGCAAAAAAAAGCTACTTCATGATTAATGTCACGATTTTCCAATTAATTTATGATCTGCCGAATCTAAAGCCTTTTAATCCCATATTTTACTCGCTCCAGACTATAATAACATATGTCTGATAATAGATTATTTTATTAAAAAACCAGAACATATTTTACATTATATTTAAAGTTTATGCAATCATAAAATAACAAATGATTGCAGGAAATGCATTTATCAAGAATACAATTAATTTTTATAAAATTAACGTCGCTAATTAAAACAATTAATTTTTTACTGAAATACAATGAAACATATTTTATTAATTTATCATGATGATGTAACCAATATATTACAGATGATTGGATGCATTTACTGAGAATACATTTTTTCAATTATAAAATGATGTTGTTAATTGATCAATTAATAATTTTATCTCATATCGTTTTTAATGTTCTAATTAATCATAAGTTTATTTATAATTTACTTGTAAAAAAATGAAGTCATCAATACATTTTTTTTTCTGAGTCATCAAAAAATAAGAACTTCTGTATTTTGCATTGGTTGTGTTAATGAGTCTCACAATGTACTTTAAAATATATAGATCATATCAACTGAAAAAAACTTAAAATAAAAGGATTTTCTTCTGTTTTCTGAAGAGTATTTGCTTTACAGGCTAAATTTATTGTTCGAAATATTGCTTAATAGTTTTAGTTATGTCTTTTATTTCTATTATTGCAATATAATTGCAAACTGTGTTCCAAAATATAAAGTAGCAACTGAAACACTTAATCATACGAAATAATAATGTAAAAATAAGCAAATAACTCATGAAAAAAACCGAAGATGAACATAAAAGTATCTTCAAATAGAAATAACAACAACAACATTTTAGTTTGCAACAAACATAAAATTACATAAATAACTGCATGTAATTGAAATAAATTATAAACAAAACTTATATTTTTACTAATGTTGTTTGGTTATTCATCCATTTCATACGTATTGTAATGCGGCGGTTATCAAACTGAAAAAGACACCTGTCAACTTGCGTCAAAAAATATTATAAACAATTGGATTGCAGTGCAACTCTAAACAAACATATTGATTCGCTCAATAAAAAAAGGTTATAGAAACACTGTTATAGAAGATACATTTTAGAAAAAAGTTATTGAAAATGAATTTACTCAACTCAATATATTACTGTATATTTTTACATTGAAAAATTGGTAAAATATTATATAAAGTATGTAGTTCACAAAAAACTTAAATATTATTAAAAAATATGGTTAATAGATCTTTGGAAGAGTTATAAATAAATATCTTTATATATTTCATTTCTTTTTACTAATTTTTATTGGTTTTTCGGGCCGAACGTCCAACGATGAATGTTTTCTTTTATATTTAAAAATATTGTTCTTAAAAGTTAATTTACATGATTGTTTAGTTTATTGTTGGTAAATTTAGTTATCCTATAGACATTTGGTAATTATTGAAATATTTTCTTTTAATCAATTAATTTACAAAGATTCAATAATGCAATGAAAATTACTTCACACGTTAAGGATAGCGCAAATCGGTTTGCCTGATGCGAGAATTTTGTCGTGGACGCCTATGGACTGAGTTAAATGTCAAATATCTTACGTCAATTACAAATTTAAACTTTTCTTATACATTTTTTAATAATTTTTAAACAGTTTATAGCAATTTAGACGCATATTTAACGTAATATTCTAAATTGATTCAATAATTATTAAATATGTAAAAGAAATGTATTGGCGTTTAAGCGTTTAAGCTCAGTCAAAATCAGTGGCGTGCATAGCGACAAAACTATTATTCATAATTTATGACCCACCGATGGGTCATACCGCCGTCAATAAGTCATTTTTATTGTTAATCTACTGTTTTCACTACTGTATTAAACAATTGAGATAAAGAATAATTTATATTAAGTAAGCAAAAGTAATCAAACAGATTAGTATTACTTGAACTAGGCTACTACGAATGATATAATTTCTATTTTCAGATGTATTTGTGGTGTGGAGATTTCATGTTCACCGTATTAGCGTCTATATTTTGGGTGCTCGCATTCGAATCGCCGATGATTGGCATCGAGAAATTGATCTTTGGTAAAGGTGAGATAGATAATCCCCGCTAATCCACACAATCTACACATACTTTCCATAATTCCAGGCAAACCCAAGCAGAGGCTGGAAAACCAATGAGAAGCTCCGACAATCGCAACTAGTTTAATGTATTTATTGTTAGCCTAAATAGAAATAAACAATCATACAAATCAATTTGTTACAAATAAACGTTTACTAGGAAGTCCACCTGTTTGTTTACATTTGGAACTCGTAATTGCGATTGTATTAATCATTTTTATTTTGAAATCGCTTCTCTCCTTTGCGCTCGTTTAATCTCGATCGAGACTAGTTCGATAACGTGGAACAAAAAAAAATGTGTACTTGGTACTGTTATCTTTACAAGTGCAGAGGGAGATGTATATAATATAGCTGAATTTTTTTTGAAGAAGACCAGTAGTGAACAATCTTTGCAATTTTCAAGTTACACAATTTATTTATAATATTTTTTTCGAAATTTTAACTTCTGCTATTTTGAATATGTCTTGGAGAGGAGTGCTGGCTGTAGTCTTGTTTGTACTCTCCTGTTCTGGTGATGCTCAAGACCGAAAGTATGGAATCTTGCAATGGCCGGAAAATGGTGCAGTCATCTCCAATTTAGAATGCAAGAAGCAGATGGATCTGTTGCACGATCATTTGGAGAAACAAATACCGTGGGCTTATAAAAGTAAGAACCTTTTCTTCTATTCCACAACAATTGCATTGTTTGGTAACATTGTAACATTATTCTACTATTAACTGTGTCGCATCTTATTTTCACAAAAGTTACACAAAAGTTTTAATGTTTAATGGTAAAATCTTATAAACCTTCTGGTATTAACTACATTTTTAGTAACTTTTTGTTAATTTCAGACTTGATACTTTAAAAATTTATTTAAAAAAATGAAGATCAGTTTTTAAATTATTGCTTAGCAACAAATAACAATAAATATCTGATCTGCTTTGGAAAATATCATTTCCCGAAAATTTTATACTAGATTCTCAATTTACATATTTTATTTGCCGTTATTTACCATTAAACAAAAATAAACTGAATTAAGTTAAAATAAAAAAAAGAACTTAACTAATTATTATTATGTTTTGAATAATAATTATTATTACCTAGCAACCAAAAATAATTTTGAATATGTACTTTGAAAATATTTTTATTGGCACATTAATATAAAAATAATTGTATATTTTTTTATTTTTATCAAATAAATTAATAAAAAATCTTCTTTACGTGTTTATATGTACTAAACGGAAAGTACTGAACAATTGAACGTTTTCTTTAGGTAGATACTTAGTGTTTATATATAGTTGCTTAGTAACCAAACATCACATTAGAAGAAACACTAATTATATACACCTTTGAAATATCCTTTTCAACATTTTAATACATTGAAATACATTTATTTTGAATACACGTTAATTTTAACGAAAATTAGATTTTTTTTATTGTTTATTCAATTGTATAGTTTAATTAACTTAAAAAAATACTAAACAAATGAAAGTACTCTTTACGTATTTCTTCAATTTTTATATAATTGCTTAGTTGATAATTTGATATAGTTGAAAAATTGATAAGTTTTCTATAAAATTGTAGATTTGGTTAGTAGTTTTGTTTTTATTAAGAAGTATGTTAAATAAAGGTAAACCAATCAAAAAGCTTTTCGTTACGTATTAATTCAATTTCCATATTATTGCATAGCAACAAATAAAAAACAATTAAAGCAGTGCTAATCTGATACACTTCGAAGAGATTATCCGAAATGCGTGTATATTGGATTATTATGTAATTGCATGAAATTTCTTAATTTCCTGAATCAATACATTTTTGCTATTATGATTAATATTATGATTCATTTACAATTTTATATTAAATTGAGGTGAATAATAATGATTTACAATGATATTAATGGTGATCATGAAATAACAACATGCCGTGTTTTGATGCGTCTGGAATTATCAATTTTCTGTAGAAAAAATAAAAAAAAATTGTACATAAAAACGAGACAAACTAGTTTATCTACTTAATAAACAAATCAATCATAACATTTTTATCAGGTGCTCGATACGTTCGTGAAAAGTATGTTCGTACTACGAATAAAAAAAAAAAAATAAAATAATAACATCATATTATGTAGATCGAAGCTGAGGCGCGTCGAGTGGATGTTTACAAATCTAGATCGTAGTCGAGTGTTAACAATATATTTAATTGATTGCTATCAGATGAGAAGCAGTTTGGCGGAACGCGCGCTTAATCCGAGATTCGGTTAGGGGAATAACACGGAGATTTTAATCTCGAATCGCTCCAAAGATTAACGCATACCAAAAATAATCTTCGAAGATTAACGAGAGATTAATTCTTCTTTTTTGCAGTGATCGACTCATCGTCGAAAATCAACTATGGAATCCTCACTGGAAACGTCATGGACTTTGGTAACTTCGACGAATGCATGGCCGTTTATCATAAAGACAAAGAGACGGGAATCGAAATCCGCCCGAAGTATTGCACCTACAGTTTAATGTTGTTCTTTCCGAATCCCATCAAAGGTGATCCCAAGGAGCGCAGCAGTTTGCATTACAGTAAAGTAAGATGATTGTTTAAAAAAAAGTTAAGAAGAAATTGGTGCTAATACGATTTGTCTTGTCAGGAGGTTGAGATATTCGCGCCAAAGATGAACAGATCTTCCACGGTACAGGAGGATTACATAACGTTGGCTCTATCCCTGTGCTTGCCAAGCGCCTGCAAACCAAGCGAAATCGAAGCTTACATTCCTTCGGTTTACGACATGAAGACCTTCAACGATGACATGTGTCAAACACCGGAGACGGGAAAAGAAATCGATACCTCCGACATAATCGCAATGTAAGCATTCATACAAAAAGACAATAATAATTTAATCTACAATAAGTTTATTTACATTTCCAGTGTTATTCTATCTATCATAATGCTGTGCGTTATTCTCTCGACGACCTACGATTATTACCTGCTGAGAACGAAGAAAGGTAATTGATTGGAAATGCGAAATGATTGCAGTTATTATACAATTGTTGTTTCAACAGAATCACCACATCTCATCCTGTTGGCGTTCTCAGTGTTGACCAATGCGAGGAAAGTGCTGAAGACCACTAAAAATCCTGATCAGCTCATGTGTCTGAACGGTCTGAGAAGCATAAGCATCATGTGGGTGATGGGTGGACATCGTTATTCCATTCAACCTTACATGCCGCAAATCAATAAGAATCACATCGACACGGTAAGTTTTTTTTATACTTTGTCCACTTTATTTTATTTGATAATTCAGCAAAACATGCTTTGGTCAGTCCTGATTTGATCTATAACTTTGATAGATAAAAATTAAGAAAAAAAGAACACAAAATTAGTTGAGTTCTCAAATAATTATCTGAATTTAACATTGTAATTATTTATTTTCCTTCAAAAATTATTTCAAATTTTTAAAACTAAATTTTCTTTTCATTTTTCTAGTGGATGAAACAACCTGGCAGCCAGTACATCTTGGGAGCACCGATCGCCGTGGACACTTTCCTCTTCATCAGCGGTTGCTTGATGGCTTACGGCTTTATCAGATCTCAGAGTAAGCCGAACGCAAGGTTCAACGTGTTCATGTACTATCTTCATCGTTACCTCAGGTACTTAAATCTTACTTAAACTCAACTCTCTTGATCAAAACTGATTTCAATAATCCTTCCGCAGAATAACTCCGGCTTTGGCTATCGTATACTTGGTCCACGTATCGATCATCAGACATCTATCGGATGGTCCGATGTTCCCGGAGATCTTCAACACGATCCGCGATAACTGCTTGGAATATTGGTGGTCAACGTTCCTCTACGTTCAGAATTACGTTAACATGGATAAAATTGTAATTAACAATTCCAGTTGATGGTTTGAATCGAATATTTATTTTAATTTGCTTTGCAGTGTCTTCTTCACACTTGGTACCTTTCCATGGATATGCACATGTTCTTGGTATCTCCGATCCTGTTGATTCCTTTGGTCAAGTACACCAAAGAGATGATTTACGTGCTGAGCGGGCTTCTGGTAATTTCGATTGTCTGTCCTTTCTTGATCGTCTACTTCTACGAGATCAAAATGTTCGATGATTACTACTACGACTATTATTACTACGTTTCACACACGAGATTGGCGCCGTGGCTGATCGGTCTCCTCTGCGGTGCGATCATTTCCATCTACAGGGACAAACCTTTCAGGATCAATTGGGTAAGTTTAGAGCTCAATTTTTTCCGAACAAATTAAGATTAATCTATTTTCGTTTGCATTATAGATTACCAACGTCATTATTTGGACGGTTGTGCTGTTCGGAATGATCAACATAATCTACTGGGGAAACGACGTTGCCAATCATTACAACATCTGGAGCACTTCCTTCTACTTATCCTTGCACCGAGCTGCATGGGCCGTCGGTTTAAGCTGGATCACATTCGCCTGCCTCAAAGGATACGGAGGTAAACATCTTAGAATCTTATCAAATCTTAATCAATTAATTAACATTATTAATGAAATTTCAGGTTTCATAAATTGGATCTTGTGCCTACCGATTTTCCAAGTCATCGCCAGATTGAGTTTCTGCATGTACCTGGTGCACTTCTCCGTGCTGGCTGTGAGTTTAGCCCGAATCAGGACTCCCTCCGTCTTCTTGGATTACGAAATGGTAAGTAATCTTAAACTATTAATAAAAAAAATCAGATGTCTAAACGATTTCATTTACAGCTGTACTCGTGTTTCGCTGATGTCTTTGTAACTTTAGTCGTGGGTTTTGTTTGGGTGCTTCTCTTCGAATCTCCAATGGTCGTTCTCGAGAAGATCATTTTCTCCGGAGCAGGAAGGAAGCCGAAAGCACCGAAACCCGATGAAGAGATTGCCGTGAGGAGGCTGACCGACGTGGAGGAAATCACTAAAATCATGAGATTGAATCTCATGAAATCGAAGGATCCTGAAACGCCGATTGATGTCGTCGTAAGCGACGTCAAGGGAGAAGAGTGAAACTGAATCATCCAACGATTATTATTATTATTTATTATTAGTTTTTAAGTGACACGTAAAGTCTGATCTGTTCTTTTTTTACTTTGTACATCTATTTTTTTTATACTCTATTTATTTATCGAATTATTAAAAAGAAAATTTGTAATGCAAATAAGAAAAAAAATTGTTTGATTTCTTGAAATTCCTTGATTTGAAAATCGCATAGACCGAGTAATAAGATTCGCCAATATCCCGTACTGTTTGAAACCGGACTAATCGAGGAACTAAATACATACAAAAAATAAACCGCAGTTGACTGTATAAAAAACGATAATTTATGTATACAAAAATAATTATGTGTACTATTTATTTATATTTTGATCTATTCATATTTTGTTTTGTTTTGACATTTTCACACATGTCCAAAGTGAAGAATCTTTACTTATCAAATCCGGACTGTGTGAGTTATAGCTGTAGTCTATTTTGTTATTTTAAAATGCAAATAACTAAGTAAACTTTATTCATTGAATTATTTTGTTAATGCTGAAAATGTTAATGCAAAAAAAAATAAGAATTTTTGTTTGATTTCTTTAAATGTTTGTGATAAAACTTCAGATAAGAGGAAAGTATTTTATTTATTAAATTGCATTTTTATAATAGAAACCATTTTGCATGCAAATAACTTACAATTTTTATATAATTACGTAAGATTATTCATTTGATAAAACACAAGTAAAGCAATACAAATAATTTTATAGAATTATATAAAAAAAAACTAAGATTTTTTTGTCTGAATTTTTACAATTTGTTATTCGAAAAATACAAGCAATTTATTTATATTGAATTGTTTTTAAATTCATGAATATTACAATGTAAAAATTTTATAATTTTGTTTGATTTCTTATGATCATTGTTCTTGAAAAATGCAGGTAAGAGTATGCAAGAGAATTGTAATGCAAATATTTTATAATTTTGTCTGATTTTTATACTGGAATTTCGAAATGTATGTTTGTATGTTTTTTGTTAAGATTATTTAGAAAGCAACTTAAAATTGTACTATATTTGAAGTATTGAATTATTTTTGACTTTTTAACAATCCTTATTTGAGAAACACAGGTAAAAAGACACTGGATTTATTGAATAAGAATATTGTGTCCTATATTTTGAAGTTTCCTTATCGGAAAAACACAGGTAAGAGGATTAGAAAATATGTTTTCTATAGTTGCGAATTTCCATTAGTTACGGACCTGTCGTATAATGCACCTGACGTTTTTCATTCACTTCAGTACATTCTCTTTGTACAATAATATTTGTTTACATGTAAAATTGCGAGTGCAATAAAAAGAATATTCATTTGATTTACAACTCGCCCAGAGTAAGGAAACCAAGACCTTGTTGTTCATTGCTGACATATTTTCAAGAACTCACCTTGAGTTTTAACAATGCGTTTATCCACTTTGGTTCACCATGTTATGAATATTTATGACAATAATGTATTTACGTAATGTTTTTAGCTGTTGAAGTTAATGATTGATGGTCTTTTCTTAGTAATAAAAAAAAACAATTAATTAGCTAAATATTTTAACCATATACGTGCAAATAAATTTGAATGTAGTGAACGCAACAAAAAACTCCTGCTACATCATTTTTAAAACTTGTGCACATATTATGTGTATTTTTAAATATGTTTCACTATACTAGTAAAAATCCATTAAGCGAGGTTCCACTGTATGTGCAAATAAATTAGAATGCAGCGAATGGATTTAACAAAACTCGACGAGTGCAAAGGAATGCAAGAAAGAAAAAAACGAAGACGATTCTTATAATGCGCATAAACGATGAATGAAGAGTAGTAAAAACATAAAAAAAAAGATGTGTAGAAAATTCCATGTCGAGTCTAGACGATAAGATTTTGTTTTATTCCAAATAACATCGTGGAGGAATGAACACAAAAAGCATACATTATTTCAATTTCAACGCTATTTTTTTACATATGTAACTTGTCAAGTAACGTTTAGTGTGTAAATGCAACTTGACAATTTTAATTTATATTCACACAGTCCGAATATTTGAACAAATTAATATACTTGATACGTTACTTGACAAGTAAGTAATTTACACATGTTATATTGTAAATTACAAAAGTTATATAATACTTTATATTATAATCACGTACAGTAATACTTTGCTTAGGCGGCTTCGATCAGTGCGGATTCATTGAAAAATTCAATTCTTTTGGTATCTTAATGTAATTTGTAAATTTTAATAAAATAAATTTATTGAACAAAATCATTGATGATTTTTTTTATTATGATTAATTATTTATTTATACAATTTATATTACTCACTTTTATTAGGATTAAGAAGAATATTTGTTTTTTTTGTCATTGAAAGCAACATTTTATATATTTACTCGTAATTTACTAAAAAAAAGTAATACAATGCAGTGTATTTTCTACAACATTTGTTTCACCCATTCCAATAAGTGACGTAGTTTCTAATAATAAGTCAACTATTAACAAATATACATTATTCTCTCGAATCTAACAATGAAGTACACTCAAACCAGTTTTTACGTGATAGATTGGTTTCTGTAGAATCTGTGTAAAACAATATTGTTTACAAATATATACAGCGTTTTAACTATGTAGTTTTTTTTTTAGAATCGTGACTTAGAAACCGTTTTTTCTGGCTCTATTTTTTTGTATTAAATTGCAATGAGAGGAGCCATTCCGTCATCATCTCTATGATTTTCTGAAAACAGATCGGAAGTGGGCACAGACTACCCCTATTATTCCATCATCCTCATGAAGTCAACTAGATTTTCATCTTTGGTGGCAAATAATCGCAAGTTGTGTAGAAATGTTTGTTAGCACAGTTTAGTCCACAGATATCATTTATCCTAAAATTAGGTGTGATTAAATGAAGAACAAAACTCGCAAACAAACTAATGTTTTTATGAAAATTTACATTGGCTAAAACTGGCCAAATACTAAAGCTTCAAGTTTACAGCCATATGATTGGTACTTGACATCGAAAACAGTATAATTAATTAAGAAAATCATGTTTAAACTGCGTAGTTTTTTTAGAATCATGGTTTTCTCAGGTTGAAGCTCTTTTTTTTTATTAATTTGCAATGAGAGGAGCCTTTTCGTCATCACCTCTACGATATTCTTCTAATAGAACATAGAAAACATTATAATTTATTAAAAAAAATCACGTTTAAACTGCGTTGTTTTTTTTTTAGAATCATGTGTAAGAAATTGGTTTTCTCAGGTTGTAGCTCTTTTTTTTATTAATTTGTAATGAGAGGAGCCTTATCGTCATCATCTTTATGATATTCCTCTAATAGAACATCGAAAACATTATAATTTATTTAAAAAAATCACGTTTAAACTGCGTAGTTTTTTCAACATCATGTGTAAGAAATTGGTTTTCTCAGGTTGAAGCTCTTTTTTTTTAATTAAATTGCAATAATATGATCTATAGGCAGAAACAATCTCTATTATTCCATCATTCTATTGAGGTTTATCAACTATAATTTCATCTCTAATGACAAATAAACGAAAGTTGTGAAGAAATTTTTGTTAGCACAGATATGATTTATCCTATAATTAGGTGTGATTAAATATAGAAAAAAAAAACTCGTAAACAAACTAACGTTTTTTGAAAACTCACATAATAATATGTACATCAAGCAAGTAAAACTTGAAAGCTAAAACTGACTATATAAGAAAGGTTTAAGTTTACAGCGTACATAATTGTTACTTAACATCGAAAACATTATAATTAATTAAAAAATCACGTTTAAACTGCATAGTTTTTTCAATATTAAGTGTAAGGAATTGGTTTTCTCAGGTTGAAGCAACATCAAACATGTAAAATTCAAAGTCTAAAACTGGCCAAATAAGCAGGGTTTAAGTTTAAGTGAGCTGTAAAAAACAAATGCTTTAAGTTTTATAGAAACGTAGTTTCAATTCGAAAAGAATGGTACAAATTAAAGGAATACAATTAACATTTATATTAAATCGTTTCGCAAAAATGTTCGATGTGGGCAGCATGCAGAGTTTCTCAAACTATGGAATGGGATAATTACTAAGTAAATAATATCCTACAAAATAAACAAAGTGTTCCGTTGCAGGAAAGGTTTCTTAGGTTCAAAAACGTTCACGTTTCTTAGGTTCTGTTTTTACCTGAGAAGTAGAGAAGAAAGGGGGTGGGATTTGTGTTGGTATATAAACCCCGAAAATACACCCCAAAAGCGCATTCGACTTTAAAGCTTTGCTGCTAGCGCAATTACTGACTTTCTCACTTGAATAAACACAATTTCAAACTACTCAATTCAAGTAAGTAAAACATCTAAGAGAATGAAAAATATCTAATTTTTAATCTTTTTTTTTGTAGAATGGCCAGTAAATACGTATTCTTAATTTTGGCTACAATCGTCTTCGCTGCATTAGCTCAAGAAAATCCATCTGAACAAGACAATTTCGTTGCTCATGAAAATCTCCAGCAACCTGGAACTTATCCAGAAAGCAATTACGATGGATATTTGGTGGTTGCAGATTATAATGAGAAACCGCAAACCTTTTTAGCATCTTTATTACCAAAAGCAAAGGTAAGTTCATATTATAAATTAATTAACTTTATTTTTAATTGTATTATTTTTATAGTTGGCAACACAATTATCTCTCAGAGTAGTCACAACTGTGGCTCTCTACACCGTAACTGCTTTTTCGTTTTTGGCAGTCTTCGGAATTATGGCTAGTATCGTGTGCACTTTTACTCCAGTTTGCTACAACTTTCAATTGTGGATCGCCGGACTGAGGAACGTCGAAAGTATGCGTTCTTTGGTGAACACCGATTACATCGATGCTGCTGCGAATTTCGTGCAAGAAGCCGTCCTCAAGTACAAAAGATTACAAAGAGCCATCCATACTGGATATTGATTCGTACTCTCGATTATGATTGAAGTAACTACTTTATTTTTTTCTTTGTTACGATATTTCTATTGCACATATTGTAACTAGAAACGTGATATAAAAATGATATATGTAAATGAAATAATGAATATAAATAATAATAAATAAATATATATGCAACAACAAATTAATTGTATTTTAAATTAATATTTCCTTGAATTGAATACGAATGTATTTTACATCTACTTTATTGAAAATTGTTTTTTCCATGACAAACAAATAACATAAACAAAGATGGCAAACTTGACATTTGTCATTAACCAATTTATTAATTTACGTCAATTATATGGAACAACTAACAATTAACATTTAGCAAAAGTTTTATTTGTATATAAATATTTTTGATACTTAATATGAGCTTTTTATTACAATAATAATTTGATAATCTTTGATAATTCATACCTCAGTCAACGTTGCTTTGATAAAACGAAGCCCAAAATTTCAAAATATGGCTAGAAGTTATAATATAAGAAATACCAATAAAATAATGAATCATACCAAATCATGAAAAAAAATTCTATGTCAATATCGAAGAAAAAGTAAATGAAGAAAATTTAAGAATTTGACAAAAGTCAAATTGGAATTGAAAATGCTTTAATGCTTTTTATTGAAATAATCCAAGATTATTAAGAGATTAGTGTTAAGTGAAAGACAAAAAAAAATATAAACAATTATCTTTCATGTTGATTAATTATTAATAAAACTTCTTTGAAAAATTCTGTGGAATGTATTTTTGCCCCTGAAAACGAAGTTTGATAATCTTTGGTTGATAATCTTTGATAATTCATACTTCAGTCAACGTTACTTTGATTAAGGCAGGAGTGTACTTTTGTAAACCAATGGAAATTTGATTTCCATGACAACACAAATAATTTAAAAACGTGTCATCGTTTGACATAATTCAATCATTTACGTCATTTATAAGGAACAACTAATTTGATAAAAATACTTTTTAATAATTTTGATATTTCATAACTAAAAGTTAAGTATTTACATAATTGACAAAAAAATGTAAAGAAAAGTTATATGATTCAACAAAAATGTTTATTGTTACAGTGCAATAACATAAATATTTCTTATTAAATAAGTATAGTTTATATCTTTTAAATTGATATTTTCTACTCAATAAGAAGGGGCATTTCTTATCATCTTTCTTTATAAATGAAGGATTTTCAACTTTTAGTTTCATAAAAATACAAATAACAAAAAAATGTATTATCAATGACAGTTGACATAAATTAATTTAGATCACACAAACAACATACGTAGCTAGAAATTAACAAAAGGATCATTGACAGAAAAAATAATACTCTTCAATTAACTTGATAATATTGCATATTGTTATTATTAAATATGTGACAAAAAAAAACAGAAACGTCACACTTAATCATTAGCCTACTTAGACCTGAATTATTAAAATTATATTTACATTTTTATATAGTTTTTATATCCAAAATCATTACATACATTTGCAATTATTTTATTCATTTCATTCAGACTTAGACATCTATATTTATAAACTTTCATTATTTATTTTTGATTAATTTGGTATACTAATATTGATATTACATAATTTTTTATAGTAATATTATCTCAAACTTATACCACATTATTCGAATAAACTGATGACAATTGATAATTTTCCTGACATGAAAATTTAACAAGTCCTATGGGATACAAATTTTTCTTTTCATATTCTTCTCAAAAGAAATGTAGGTAATAAGAATTTTCCTATTTCAATTTTTATGAAATATACAACAATTGAATTTTGTGAAATGTCTAAAAACACCGCCGTTCCTAATCTTCCTTACCTTAAAGTTATCCGTAGTTCAAAGAAAATTTTACGACATCTTTCCTGCATTATTATCTTAAGAGGTTACCGAAATTGCACTTAGTCTAAGGTACGATAAGATATAATAATGAATGTACGTTTATTTTTAGGGTCGTTTAGGTACCTAACTTTAACAGGTTAGGATTGTGGGTAGATTTAGCGAAAACACTGTATACAATAAAATAATGGAAGGCGGAAAAGTAGGATCAGGTGCCGAAAATGTAACCTGCCACTTCTCGGATGTGCGGATTGGAAATTCTTTTAAATTTAGTCATCTTTGAAAAAAAAAAACGTTTTTACAAAGGTTTACTAAATGTAAGAAGAGTTTATGGTTATTGTATTGTATTCCAATGTATTACAATTTTTATTATTTGTTCATTTCTTTTCTTATAAACATAAAATACAGGTGGTATAGCAATATCTTAGATAGTGCGGCTTCGAACAGTCCGGATTCATTATAAAACTGTTTACAAATTTCAATGCAAACTTTTAAAAAGGTTTACTCAAAGAAATCACATTTTATAGTTATTGTATATTTCCTATTACAAAATTTATTATTTGTTCATTTCTTTTCTTACAAATAAAAAATACAGGTGGTATAGAAATATCTCAGATAGTGCGGTTTCGAATAGTGCGGATTCATTATAGAACGGTTTAATTATTTCAATGCAAACTTTTACAAAGATTTACGCAAAGAAATCACATTTTATAGTTATTGTATATTTCCTATTACAAAATTTATTATCTGTTCATTTCTTTTCTCACAATCAAAAAATACAGGTGGTATATCTATATCTCATATAGTACTGCTTCGAATAGTCCGGATTTATTATAAAACTATTTACAAATTTCAATCCAAACTTTTTCAAAGGTTTACTGAAAGAAATCATATTTTATAGTTATTGTATATTTCCTATTACAAAATTTATTATTTGTTCATTTCTTTTCTTACAAATAAAAAATACAGGTGGTATAGAAATATCTCAGATAGTGCGGTTTCGAATAGGGCGGATTCATTATAGAACGGTTTAATTATTTCAATGCAAACTTTTACAAAGATTTACGCAAAGAAATCACATTTTATAGTTATTGTATATTTCCTATTACAAAATTTATTACTTGTTCGTTTCTTTTCTTATAAACATAAAATACAGGTGGTACAGCAATATCTCAGATAGTGCGGCTTCGAACAGTCCGGATTCATTATAGAACTGTTTACAAATTTTAATGCAAACTTTTACAAAGGTTTACTCAAAGAAATAACATTTTATAGTTACTGTATATTTACTATTACAAAATCAATTATTTGTTCATTTGTTTTCTTTTCTTACAAACAAAAAGTACAGGTGGTATAGAAATATCTCAGATAGTGCTGTTTCGAACAGTGCGGATTGATTATTGAACGGTTTAATTATTTCAATGCAAACTTTTACAAAGGTTTACTGAAAGAAATCATATTTTATAGTTATTGTATATTTCCTATTACAAAATTTATTATTTGTTCATTTCTTTTCTTACAAACAAAAAATACAGGTGGTATAGAAATATCTCAGATAGTGCGGTTTCGAATAGTGCGGATTCATTATAGAACGGTTTAATTCAATGCAAACTTTTACAAAGTTTATAATTATTGTATATTTTCTATTACAAAATTTATTATTTGTTCGTTTCTTTCCTTGCAATCAAAAAATACAGCTGGTACAGGAATATCTCAGAGAGTGCGGTTTCGAACAGTGCGGACTCATTATTGAACGGTTTAAAAAAATCAATGCAAACATTAATTCAGCATAACATGAATAAATTCTAAAAACATATTACAGAAAATCAAGTCTCTTCTCTTCGTGTACTGTTTTAAAATCCGGTTCTAAAAGTATGGAATATTGGCGGAATAAATTACCCTCGCTATGAGAATTTTTGCTCTATTTCATAAGCTCGTGAAAAGAAAATTGTGATAGATACAAATTTCTATTAGAATGTAGTTTTGGCTGTATTTATAGTTTTCTTAGTTGTAATTAGCATTTTTAGTAACGATTATTATTACGTATTGCATTCTTAATATTTATTTTTACATTCATTTATTTAATTAACACAATTCATCTATTCAATTAACACATCAGAAATATTAAAAAAAAAAACAGAGTAATAAGATTCTTTAGTTCTCTTCATAGTCAGTCCTTCTTTATTGAATTGTTGAAACTTTAGTAATTAAAGTAACTTATGAACATTTCCATAACAACTATTAAAAATTGTGAGTAGCTAAACTTGCATAAACATTTCCATAGCAACAATTACACATTGTGCGTTTGAAGATAAAATTCTATTAGTAAACTAATGTTGAAGTTTGTACTTTGACTACTTGATTGTAGTATAATGAAATACAACGAGAAGAGAATGTTTTTATGAGCTTTAAATGTTTGTTAGATAGAAATCTTAAAATCTACTCATATTACAGTTTGTAATGTTGTTTGGTATTAACAACTGTAATTGGTATGCTTGATAATACAATTACTAAATATTACTTGAATACTTTATTCAGATTTAAGAAAATATACAAATATTATAAAAAATAAACCAAAGAAAATTTGTTAAATTCTGTTCTTTATTAATATCATCATCATCAATTATACATTTACACATTTACAATTTCGTACAAATTTCAGTAATACAAGTCATTAGTAATCAGAAGTAACAGCTCTTTGGAGTCTCTTGAACTTGGTTATGGCATGATGTACGGCATCTTCAGCAGCGTTTAGGTTGTCCCAAGAAAGCATTTCATTGGATCTCCCAAATCCAGCATACCACATTTGGAAATTAAAGCAGACTGAAGTGAAAGAGCACAGGATGCTGAAGCCGATGGCAAGAGTAGATAAAATAGCAAATGCACCCATGGTGTAGAAGGCGATTTTAGTAATGAGTCCAACAGCTATATTAGTTGCCATCTAGATAGAAAAAATAAATATTTAGAATATCGTTCATATTTAAAATACAATGATAATGCTTACCTTAGTTTTGGGTACAAAAGTCTCTAAGAACCCTGGCTCTTCGTAGTTTTCAACTGGTACCAAATATCCATCGTAACTGTTTTCAGGATAAGTGTCGGATTCGGGAAATGTTGCATGAGGAACGTAAACAGCCG